CTTGGCTCTTTGCTGGGTCTCGCACACTTTACTCGCTTGCGGGCGAGGGCCAGGCTCCCGAATTTTTCCTCCGCTGCAACAAAAATGGTGTCCCGTACAATGCTGTCCTAATCACTTGGGCAATTGGTCTACTCTCTTTCTTGAACCTCTCTGCCTCAGGTTCAACCGTGTTTTATTGGTTTACCAACATCACTACAATTGGAGGATTCCTCGCTTGGGTTATCGTGGCAGTGGCATACTTGGTACGTTGAATTGCCCTTTTCTTCTGTTCCTTTCGTAGATGGCCTTGCTAACACTATCTCTTTAGCGTTTCCGAAGCGCTTTAGAATTCCACGGACTACTCAAGTCGCGGCCCTTCATTACGCCCTTCCAGCCGTACGGTGCTTACTACGTCATGGGCTTCGTGTCACTATTGGCTATTACCAATGGCTATACGATATTCTTCCCAGGCTCATTTACTGCCTCGGATTTCCTTGTTTCCTACATTGTCTTCGTGATCTTCTTTGTGCTGTACTTCGGCCATAAGTTCTATTACAAGACACCGTGGATGACAAAGGTGTCGGAGCTTGACATTTTCAGCGGCAAGGATGAAATCGACCGACTTGAAGAAGAGGAGATTGAACCGCAGCCGCGCAACTGGCTAGAGCGAGTGTGGTGGTGGATTGCATAGAACCTGTTGCGTGCTGTTATTTTTGGAACGATCTTATTCTGCCGTGCATATGATACTATGATACTATGTGATAGTGATATAGATATCAAGATATACCAATAAAGTGAGTTATAGACGATGTATTCCCGTGGATTTGGTACGTTGTAGCCATGAAGTATACATTTAGCGCCGATCAGTGGGGTTGATCTGTTGATTCTCTATCTCTACTCCAAAGCAACCCAATCTCCGCTATCAAGGTTATCTAGATTCGCGGGGAAGTCACTTGCTTATCCATTATCTCTTGTGTAATAAGAACTTGAATTTATCAAGGACACCAAGGCCCGGTGAACAGACCTTGTCAATGATTTCTCTTGACAAAGCCGCGCTGATAGACGCCGGCCCGGTAGGATCCACCCGGGACAATAACCGGCCTCTGCTGATTGGCTGTCGCTTTCAGCCACTCCCATGCAGCTAGGAGCTCCTGACCGGTAGTAGCCGGCTCTTTTCATCATTCTTCCCCGCGTCTACTTCTTCTCCAAATCTCCTCTTTTCATTGCTTGGAAGAAGTTGATTCATTGTCTTCATTTCAAACTACCATAGTGATGTCCTCCATTATGCGCACCCGCGCGCCCATTTCGCGCCTCGCATGCCGAATTCCGAGCTCCAGCACACGCTCCATGGGAACTTACGCCACTTTCAAAGTGCCCCAAATTAACAATGAGCCTAACGTGAGTTCGGCATTGAAATTGAGATTTTTTGATCATTCAGGCTAATTTGGACCTGAAGAAACACTATATTCCTGGCACTCCGGATCGCAAGGGTCTCGAGGAGGCTTTGGCAAAGTACAAGCAGAACAGCCCTCTGAACGTGCCTCTGGTAGTTGCGGGCAAGGAGGTAAGAATTATTAAGAAATATTATATACACTGAAACAACAATCTCTAACATTCAAATCACACAGCTCAAGGGATATGAAACCTTCACTCAGTCTAACCCCGCAACCCATGCCCCTGTGGCAACTTACTCCAACGCATCGAAAGCCGATGTTCAGTCCGCTATTGACTCGGCTCTCGCCGCTCGCAAGTCCTGGGCCGATACTCCTTTCGCCGAGCGCGCTAGCATTTTCCTCAAGGCCGCTGATCTGATTGCGACCAAGTACCGCTATGATATTATGGCCTTGACTATGCATGGACAGGGTAAGAACGCATGGCAAGCCGAGATTGATTCCGCCGCTGAGCTCTGTGACTTCTTCCGATTCGGGGTGAAGTACGCCGAAGAGCTCTACGCTCAGCAGCCTGCTCACAACGCTGCCGGTGTGTGGAACCGTCTTGAGTACCGCCCTCTTGAGGGTTTCGTGTACGCGATCAGCCCCTTCAACTTCACCGCAATCGGTGGAAACTTGGCTGGTGCGCCCGCTTTGATGGGTAACGTCGTGATCTGGAAGCCCTCGCCTTCCGCGATTGCCTCCAACTGGCTCGTGCACCAGATTCTGCTTGAGGCCGGTCTTCCTAAGGACGTCATCCAGTTCGTTCCCGGTGACGCCGCAGAGGTGACCGAGACCGTCCTTGAAAGCCGCGACTTCTCCGCTCTTCACTTCACCGGAAGCACTGATGTCTTCCGCATGCTGTATGGTAAGATCTCACAGGGCGTGGCGGACGGTAAATACCGCAGCTACCCTCGCATTGTGGGCGAGACCGGTGGCAAGAACTTCCACTTGGTGCACAAGTCCGCAGATGTCCGCAACGCCGCGGTCCAGACCGTGCGCGGTGCTTTCGAGTTCCAGGGCCAGAAATGCAGCGCCACCTCCCGTGCCTACATTGCCTCGTCGATCGCCGAGGACTTCACCCAGCAGGTCGTCGCTGAGGTGCAGAAGATTAACATTGGCGAGCCATCTGAGTTCACCAACTTCTGCGGTCCCGTCATCCACGAGGCCTCATTCAACAAGCTGTCCGGAGTTATCGAGGAGGCCAAGAATGACCCCGAGCTTGAGCTACTCGTCGGTGGAACCTACGACTCTTCCAAGGGATGGTACATCCAGCCTACCGTCTACCGCACATCGAACCCAGATCACCCTCTGCTTTCGCGCGAGCTTTTCGGTCCCGTTCTGGTCATTCACTCCTATAACGACGCCACCGATGCCGACTTCACCAAGATCTGTGACAAGATCGATTCCACCAGCACCTACGCTCTGACCGGCTCTATCTTTGCCCAGGATCGTGCGGCTGTCCAGCTCGCCGATGAGGCTCTCCGCAACGCCGCTGGCAACTTCTACATTAACTGCAAGAGCACCGGTGCCGTTGTCGGCCAGCAGCCCTTCGGTGGTGCTCGTGCTAGCGGTACCAACGACAAGGCTGGAAGTGCCAACCTGATGTCCCGTTTCGTCAGCTTGCGTTCCATTAAGGAGGAGTATGTTCCCACATACACCGTTGCGTACCCCAGCAACGCGAACTAATGGATAACGGTCCCCTATCCATGACCTTCAGGCTGATATTGCGTGCTTTATGATCTCATTGGCGTCAATCTTGCATATCCCACCCCGGCGTTTTGTTTAAATTGTGTCTACGAATTTGCAAGCAATCTTCAAAATGTGTATTTATTTCAAAGTCTAAAAAGACAATATACCAAACGTACCAACTAGACTTCTTCAACAACCATATATCATTACAAATGTCTCGCTGGCAATTTGTTCCTCTCAATCCGTCGCACAATTCTTCAAAAACTTCTGCACATTATCCATAGCCTTCGCTGCAAAAGACCCCATCTCATACTTCTTCCCAGTCCCCTGCGGGCCACTATCAAAGATCTCCGTCGAAAACCAGCCCCGGAAACCCGTTCTGAGCACTGCTTTGGCAACATCCTCAATAGGCAGATACCCGCCGTCATATGGCATAGGCCTAAAATCATGGCTCCAGCGACCCCTCGGCCTCAGCCCACCAATAGTCTTGTCCTCCAACGGCGGCGACACCTTATACGCGTCCGAAATCTGAAGCAGATAGATCTTATCACCGGGAACAGTGCTCGCGAGCTCATCCAAGCTCGCATCAAACCGCTTCTTTAGCTCGGACTGCGATACTGATTCAATTAGACCAGACTCGGTAGTCGGATCGCCCCATTCACTGCCCGCAGTCTGGAACGTGTCCAAACACAGCCCGCAATTTGGACGATCTACAGCTTTCACTATCTCCCAGACATCTTTCCACGCCGGGGCGTGAGTCGACCAGCACCAGTTCTCATAGGCGAGGCGGTAGTTGCGTTTTGCGAGAATGTCGCATAAAGCGCGCAAGTCAGAGACGATGACGTCGCGATCTTTTTTGATTAAAGGTTCCGGTGTGTCTGTTGCTCCAACCTAGATATGGGATTAGCTTCTTGTTCTCACGGATTTGCACTGCTCAACATATATATATATCGCTGCCATACCTGCAACAAATCCGTACCCACGGCGTTCATAATCTCCATCCAGCCTGTCGCTCTAGCAAATGCCTCCTCACGATCCGTGGAGCCCCTGACCCAGCCTTCGAAGTTTGAGAATGGCTGCAGCATCATGATCTTTAACCCGTTTTCTTCGCATAGTTTGCGGATCTCTACGGCGATGGGCATAATCGCAGGGTAGTCGTCCGGCGCGATTGAAGTACCGGTAACTTGCGCCCCATGCTGTAAGATGTTTGGGAAGGAGAGCTCAATAGCGCTGAAGCCAGCTCCGCTGATTGCTTCGAGGCGGCGCGGGAGTGTATCGTTTGGGTTGCAGCCAATTGAGCAGCTAGCGTATGAAAGGGGGATCTTTTCGAGGCTCGAGTACAGGATTGACATTTTTCGCTTCTTTTCGTAAAGACTGTCAAGCAAAGATGGTGTGATGTACAGTGATCCTATTCAGGGCTGTTGATATTTGCCAAAAGGATACACTTCACTGGACGCATGGTATCATTAGGCATATATTTGCCTCATTTGTTTTCGTTTTGCCCATTCCTTATTCATTGTGTGTCCATTGTGATGTAACGTTGGACTATACGCTTGGTTAGGGCTTGTGTCGTCAGCGCTGTGTCATATCGACCCATATCGAGCTTGGCCACAACTTGAGCCTTTCATACACTCCAAAGCAATGAATTTTGCCTCACTTGCCTCTTCTGCAGACGAATGATATCTGGGCAAGAGGAAACACGCTCTGTTGACAGGTTTGTGGCGTGTGTGATTGCATATTGACAACGCCCGGATCACAGAGGCGATCGCCACAAGATTCTTGTTCAAGAAGAGCGAACGTCGTCCCAGATAACTACCTGCCAATATCTCCCGCATATTTTGCACTTGAGCTTCGAATAACAACCCATGAGCTAGGTTTGCAGATAAAGACCAATTCACAATGACATCCGCCATCAAAAGCATCGGCGTCGTTGGAGCCGGAAATATGGGCTCTATGATGACCCTCCGCTTCGCTGAGCTTGGCCTCCAAGTCTCTGTCTGGGATAAAGAAAAGAAGAACGTGGACGAAGTGGTGAATTACGCAAAGCAGGACGACGCGATCACAGGCCGAGTTCAAGGCTTCTATGACATCAACCAATTCACGAAGAGCTTAGAGGGCACGTCGGAGCGGAAGCTCTTCATGTTTTCCATCACACACGGTCACCCCGCCGACGAAGTACTCCGCATGATTAAACCCGACCTGAAAGAGGGCGATATCGTCCTCGACGGCGGAAATGAGAACTACAAGAACACCGAGCGGCGCCAGAAAGAATGTGAAGCCATCGGCGTCTCCTGGATCGGAATGGGCGTTTCGGGTGGGTATCAGTCTGCGCGGCGGGGACCCAGTCTCTCTCCTGGTGGAGATGCCAAAGCCCTCGAGCTTGTTATGCCCTTCTTGGAGTCGTATGCGGCTCATGATCCCAAGTCTGGAGCTCCATGCGTGAAGCGAATGGGTCCTGGTGGATCAGGACACTACATCAAGATGGTTCATAATGGCATCGAAGGTGGAATGCTTTCTTCACTTGCTGAAACATGGCAATACATGCATGAGGGATTGGCCATGGAGCATGGCAAAATCGGAGATGTCTTCAATAAATGGACTCAGTCTGGCGAGCTGCGTGGCAACTTCCTGGTAAACATCGGTGCCGACATGCTACACAAAAAGAGAACTCCCCACGGCGACCGCAAAGGCGAGGGAGCCAGCCGGGATAATGGATATGTGCTCGATGACGTACTTGACAAGGTGGTTCAAGACGACGATAACACTGAAGGCACTCCATACTGGTGTCTCATGGAGTCTGCCTCCCGGCATGTCTCTTGTCCGACATTGGCGGCCGCTCATTACTTGCGAGTCGCAAGTGGAAACCGCATAGAGCGAGCACGTGCTGCGAAGAAGCTGGAAATGCCCATGCCGAAACCGATCGAGGGAACCCGGGACCACGCAGTGATCATCGAGAACCTCCGACAAGCTGTGTTCTGCTCGTTCCTGGCATCTTTCTGTCAGGGCCTGGAGCTAATCTCCAGGGCCTCGAAAGACGAAGGCTGGAATGTCAACTTGGGCGACTGTCTGCAGATTTGGCGGGCGGGATGTATCATCAAGTCCGATTACATTGCAGATCTACTGCAGCCGCCGCTTGCAGCAAACAATGAGCTGACGAACGCCAAGTTTGTAGATGCGGTCTCGCATGAGTTGCGCCAGAACTTCCACAGTCTCAAGCAGATCGTCATGGAGGGGACCATGTTCGATCAATATATTCCGGCTCTCTCGGCTACCCTGGAATATCTGAAGTATGAGGGTGGATTGGGATTGCCGACCCAGTTCATGGAGGCCCAGATGGACTATTTCGGTTCACACAACTATAACAAGCCTGGTATTCCAGGTGAGGATCCAGGACCAGTTCACAAGGGCCCTCATCATTATGAGTGGTTGCCGGCTTAGATTGTTTCAGAGCGCATTACTCTAGGCTCTGTATCACCCCCAAATTGTATTTACTATCCGAAATTGCACATGTATAAAATGCACAAAAGAGGATGTTCAAGATGTTCATAACCATTGGTCAACTGTGACCCCCATAGGTATGTAGAGGTAGATGTATCGATGGAGATGTGTACTAAAGTCTTATAGATCGCCCAAAAAGGCAGGTTGCGGCCTCAGGAACCGACAGCACGTGGGTCGACTGACAACCAATCGGAGAAGACCAGGTTGGCCGCAGCCTCAGAGATTTGAAGATGGCGCAAGATGCGCTGGATCTTAGGCTTACGTTCAATCTCTTCTATATCGAAACCCTTTCGCCGAATTGAGTCCACGAAACAGCTCGCTCGCAGAATGGCTTCTCTCCCTACCACGTACGACGGTACGTGTGCTTCTGCCTCTCACTCTACTACCCCTCACACCCCCACTTTCGATAGAAGCTGACGATAGTGAATCTGACAGGGCCCGTCCGAATCGCTGTCATCGGCGGCACAGGTCTGCGTGAGTTGCCTGGCTTCACCCAGGTAGCTTCGCTGAATGTCACAACCCCCTGGGGGGCCCCTTCCTCGCCCATCACCATTCTGCACCACGAATGTAAGCACAACAAGAAGGTCGTCGCCGTCGCCTTCTTGAGCCGCCACGGCCTGCACCACCAGATCGCTCCTCATGAGGTTCCCGCTCGTGCCAACATTGCTGCCCTGCGCTCCATCGGTGTCCGCAGCATCATTGCTTTCTCTGCTGTCGGCAGTCTGCAGGAGGAAATCAAGCCCCGCGACTTTGTTATCCCCGACCAGGTCATTGACCGCACCAAGGGCGTGCGCCCGTGGACTTTCTTTGAGGGCGGCATTGTCGCTCACGTCCCCTTCGGTGACCCCTTCGACGAGGGCATTGCCAAGGTGGTGCGCGAGTGTGGACACAGCCTTGAGGGTGATGGCGTCGTCCTGCACGACCGTGGTACTCTGATCTGCATGGGTATGTGAAGCCGTGACCCGTTCTTACGACAAAACGTCGCTAACCATGTCTTTTACGCTATCCAGAGGGCCCCCAGTTCTCCACCCGCGCCGAGAGCAAGATGTACCGCTCATGGGGCGGCAGCGTCATCAACATGTCCGCCCTCCCTGAGGCCAAGCTGGCCCGCGAGGCTGAGATCGCCTACCAGATGATCTGCATGTCCACGGACTATGACTGCTGGCACGAGGCCACCGCCGACGTGACCGTCGAGATGGTCATGGGCAACATGAAGTCCAACGCTGACAACGCTCGTCGCTTCGTGACTGCTGTCCTTGATGCCCTGGCTAGCGACGAGCACACCGAGCTGGTCCAGGCTAAGCACCTGGCTGGCGGTATTAAGTTCGGTGTTAGCACCCCTCAGACTAACTGGAAGCCCGAGGCTAAGGAGAAGCTGGACTGGCTTTTCCCTGGCTACTGGTAGATCTAGAGGCTTTAGCATCGGGGCACGCATTGTTTTGCCTTTCCTTTGACGTACATCTAGTGATGACATATGTTCATATTTATGGAATACCATCATGATAGGCATGATTGACACGTGAATCTGGAATGATATGATTGCATGTTCATAGATTAGTTATATGTGAATTTGTTAATTGATTTCCTATATATCATGAATATATGTATTTTATGCCCTTTCAATTCGAATCTAAACTGGCACTAGGTACATCATTCGACGTGACGTTGAGTCATGGCCTTTGCGATAAATCGCACCCAGCGTCGGAGGTCGCTAATGCAGTCATCGTCCTCGGTTGCGGACCAAATTGATATGAATTGTCCTCCAAAATTGGAGGCCCTTATGTCTTCCGAGCTCGTGATGCCTCGCCTATTTCTCTCTCCACAAGGTGATGGAAAGGTTGTCGTAGGTCCGATCTGATACATGGCTATTTGAGTTAACCTAGCGGAATGCCTGTATTGGAGCTGGGTCGGAAGCTGATGGACTGCTGCCTCCAGAACAGAAAGCACAAGGCACGCTCGAGAGCAATCCATAGTGTAAACGCCCACCGAGACTTCAGAGGGTGTCGACGACTTGTGTACAAAAGAGAAATAAAGATTCATCTGAAGAGGCCCGTAACGTATCCAAAGCTGACAATATATCCATTTGATAGACTGGCAAATTTCACAGGGTTGGTGAGGAGATTAGAAAGGATGCCATGTCGGCGCATTTAAGGCAAACATCCCCCGCAAAAGTGCGGCGCTCTGCCAGCCATAGAACCCTGTGGCTCCGGACAAACAGATTTCAGGGTGAAGACAATTCCTGGGGTTCTTCGAATTGGCGGTCTGCACGGTAATCACGTTACCACCACGATTTGGCGTTAAAAGGCGTTGCCCCGTGTCTGCTACCAGTGAGATCACTCGTAGCTGGTTTTCGTTCCCTTCCCCTCAAGAGCAACTCGTTCATTATGGACTATAATAAACCTCTTGATCTTCTTCACATGGCGGAAGAGGAAATTTGGGTCAACAAGGTGAATATGGCTCATGTGGACGGCCGTCTCTGCAACTGGGCCACGCGGTACCATTCCCTAAAACTCCCTTGCCGGCTGTTGGTGGCTTCCTTAACGGGTCTTACAATCTTGGACAAAAACTTGCGTTTGAGGACGGGACAGTTTGGTTCCTCCGCTTGCCCCGTGTAAGCAGTATTTCCCCGGAATATGCGGACGAGAAAGTGGCCATGGAAGTGGAGGCCCTTCATCTTGTCCTGGAGAAGACGTCAATACCCGTCCCGGAAGTTTACGCTTGGGGCCTTGCTAGTGAAAATCAACTTGGACTGGGCCCTTTTATCTTTATGAAATTCATTGACGGTGTCTGTCTTAACGACGTTTTGGCGGAAAGGATTCGAGACTGCTTAAGGGGGAAACTTCTGATGCTGATATCGAATACGCTTACAAGCAAATAGCCCAATTTATGTTGCAGCTATTCAAGATCGATTTTGACCAGATTGGCAGCTTGCCAACTCCAAGGACGAATATGCCGGGCCTAGTCGTCCACTTGCGTGGAAAGCACACGAAATTTTGCGGGTAGGAGGTGTCAATACTTTCGGTTCGTCCTAGATCCTAGGCGAAGAGTTTCACTAACGACCTTAGATGGCCAAGAAGAAGGCTTCTTCACTTCTAAAGAGTTTTTTCAATTCGCCAACAAGCAGGATTGGCAACAGCTACGATACCAATCAAACTCAATTGCCGGCCCTAATACTGCCAGATCAAGATACACATCGTTAAAAATATTGGAGTCTCTGATACCCGATATGACAAACGCGTTATACGATCGAGGTCCCTTTAAACTCGTTTCCGATGATTTTGGGCCGGCAAATATGATAGTCCGAAGTAAGGATGACCTTACAATTATCGGGGTGGTTGATCTTGAGTGGGTTTATGCTGGGCCAGCTCAATTATTCGGCTCGGCTCCTTGGTGGCTTCTTTTAGATCGCCCACTCAATGACGAGTGGGATTTTGAAGGAGGCGAGGCACCCAAACCTACCAATCGCTACTTTTAAATGCCTAGCGATATTCAAGCGTGTATTAGAGGAGGAAGAGTCCAAGATGATAGGAGACCAAAAGAAGGAACTCTCTGAGCTAGTGAAGTGGTCCGAGGATTCTGGTGCCATGTGGCTCCACATGCTTCTCTCAAGCGGCTTTTTTGATTCTCCAAGCTTCCCATGCATGCAATTACGGAGGCACAAAGGTGCCGATTGGTGGGACGAGCGCCTCATCGAGTATGAGGATACAGAAGAAGTGGAAACATTCGTGGCCAACAAGCTACACGACCTGGAAGCTTATGACAAGATCAAGGACAAAGTTGAGCATTACAAAGCTCTTATGGACAACAAGGAGATGGAACTGGATACGTTTATTCGCACTGTCTCTGCACTCCTCGACTCAAATTGATAGGTTTAGGAAAAGCCATGAAATAGAACCGAGTTTAAACAGGTGGAAGAAGATCAATCCGCAACCAGGCTTACTAGCTACTAGACAGGTATATGTAAAATAGCCGAAGGTTGTCACAATGCGTGCTACTGCATGTCTCTTGAGCTTTGGATACTGACATGCCTCGGTGCTTTACTTAAGCAAAATGACCACCGAGATTGTATCATGTGACCATTCTGGAAATCCAATTGATGAAATGCCTCCAACTCGACTACAAACAGATTATATACAGCGGATCCATGGTGTGAACCAGGCGGCAAGTCTGTGACATGGCGTTCAAGTCCGATGCATATTGCAGGTTGGGCGGTATGTACAGCAAGAATTCCATTGGTAGTGAGTATAGAGACAGTTTTGCGTTCCATATGTATGTTGAGTTTGTAGTTGTCCCTTCCACCAGGTGGTAATGAATTTCCTATTTCGGATGCACGTGATTTTATCCATTGTGCCTGAGGCACTAATGACGCTAACCTCCGATTCACCGACATGCCAGATAATCTGCCATCCTTATCTTCCCCCAGACCCCCGACATCAATAAGTGTTCCGAACACGCCAGACTGTGCTTTGATTTTCCAGGATGTACAAGCTTGACGAACGACATTCTTAATACAACAACGACGGCGCTGTTACTTTCCTATCTTTTTTACACCTCTTCGCCTTCCGTAGCTTGATCACCCGTCGCGAGCCAAATTCAAACGATGCAAGCTGGAGATTTGCGCTTTCTGATGGTATGAGCAGCAATACCGCAATCCTGTGGATATTATCAAGGAACATTTTGGTTTGTGGCGGGTTGCTGGGTCGTTACAATGAGGCCTGTCGCAAGTGAAGCTCTGTCACAGCAGAAGATGGCAGAACATGGTGTCAAAAACGGGAGCAATGGGAGCTTGAAAGCTGAGAAAGAATCGTCGCTCCATTATGTCGAAGGGAAATGCAGTCGACTAGATACTTCCGTGGCACACTTCAACGGCGAGGCTGACGAACGCCCAGTCAATGGAGACGATGGCACAAATGGGCAACGGAATGACGGTACTCCTTCGGAATGGCACCATACGAACGGAGGATATAAAACATCGGAATTGGATTCGGAGCAGGGGCTCGGCATCATAGTCGAACATTCACCAAACGACACTGATCATATTGGTCCGTTGTCGGTAGTGGATGTGTATGATGGCCCCAAGGTCAAAGCTGCTTTGGCTGAGTTGGCTGGTGATCTGTCTCATCAGATATCAGAAGACAAAGAAAAAGTCATGAAATTGTCCCCTGAAAAGATCCAGGCGCTCACGTCCTCGCCAGAGTCAATACCCTACCGTCCTGTGGGACCAGAAACGAACAATGGGAGGCGAGTAGTCTCGGACAATGTCCATGGGAATGCTTCTCTCGCACAACCGGAGGTACCGGAACCCGTGCTTCAGTCACTGGGCGAAAAGCCATCACCCGCGGATGTTTTACCAAAGTTACGGCCCACTAAAGAAGTGTTGCTGGGAGATGCTTCTGCACCGGCGAGCCCTGCGTTCCCACGGAATACTCAAAACCCCCCCTTCCGCAATAGGCCGCAGCCAGCACGAACAGTTTCGACCCCTGGCTCAACGCGGCGTCAATTGCCCTTTACCCCAAGTAATGATCGCCTAACCCAGACATGGGCATCGCGCTCGAAACAGGACCGACCCGCGCTGGATCGCGAGTTCAAGAGCCACCTTATTGCCTCACCTCAGATTATAGAATCACCCATGTCCTCACCCTTGCCATCATCTATCCCTTTGCCACCAGTTTCTCTGCCAACCTATCTTCAGCTTGAGCTTGCTTCTGGTCGACCTTCACCACTGTACATACACCGTGACGCAGCCAACGACTTCCCCTATGAATCATCACGAGTTAAGATCGAGAGGCTTATGAACTTCATTATGCTCGCACCTATGCTCGAGCAGGTACTTTGCTTTGGGAGTCTTGCTTGTCTTGATGCATGGCTTTACTCTTTCACAATAATGCCACTGCGGTTTATCAAGGCCGTCTATATTTTGGGCGAGTCATGGGTAATGAACCTGGGAGCTGAGATCCGGTTCATTTGGAAATTTGTGCTGAATGGGATTGGTCGAGTATGGCGCAGGAGGAATCATAATTTGAAGGAGGACCAGTGCGGAAGACGCGAAAGCGAATCTGACGCTACTCCTCACCTGCCTCCGGGCTCCTCTATGGGGCCAGACGTAGCACCAGCAGATAGAGACCGAAGACAGTCGCACGCAGAAGCACCAAGAAGGAAACATCGGTTTTCCGAACCCCGGAAATATCACCATCGGCGGAAGAAGTCGATGCCTTCGGCGCTACTTCCAGATGACAAAGCGGACATCCTGACAGGCCTACTGATGATAGCCACCTGCTGTGTTCTGATGTACTTCGATGCAAGTCGGATGTACCACTGGATTCGTGGACAGGCTGCTATCAAGCTATATGTTATCTACAATGTATTGGAGGTCAGCGACAGGCTCCTAGCTGCTATAGGTCAAGATGTCCTCGAGTGTCTCTTCTCACGGGAGGCTCTTGAGCGTCGCCCGGACGGCCGAAGCAAGATCATTCGTCCATTCTGGTTGTTCCTGGTGGCACTGGTTTACACAGTATCCCATGCCTTGTCTCTGTTCTACCAGGTCATGACTCTGAATGTGGCAGTGAACTCATACTCCAACGCATTGATTACGCTGCTTCTATCGAACCAGTTTGTGGAGATTAAGTCCACCGTTTTCCGGAAATTCGAGAAAGAGAATCTCTTCCAGCTTACCTGTGCGGACGTCGTGGAACGATTCCAACTATGGCTGATGCTTACTATAATCGCTTCGCGTAATATCGTGGAGACAGGCGCATTCAATTTCGTCGGTAACCTCGGGCTGGGAACTAGCTTCCCAGGACAATCCTCCACAATCACCAACAGCACGCCACTTTCCACGCCTCCACGCACTGCGTCATCCATCCTGCCTCAAGCATTCACCCTCTTCCCATCCTCAATCCTATCATCCTTCAACAGCGTGAACTCCTTCATCCCGACCCTAGCCCAAGTCCTAGGCCCATTCCTGGTTGTACTAGGCTCCGAGATGCTAGTAGACTGGCTCAAGCACGCCTACATCAACAAATTCAACAACAACCGCCCAGCCATCTACAGCCGCTTCCTCGACGTGCTAGCCAAGGATTACTACACCAATGCCTTCGGCGAGCAAAACCTAACCCGTCGCATCGGCCTCCCAGTCATCCCTCTCTCCTGCCTCTTCTTCCGAGTCTCCGTGCAAACGTACCAAATGTTCCTAGCCGCCTTACTCCCCCAACACCCCTCCTCCACAGCAAACGGAGCGACCTCCCTCACCTCGATCCACAACAATTACGGCCCCTCTCCGATCCCCTCGGCTCCACCCTTAACATTGGCCACTCTGCTCCCCGCCTCCGCCGCCCACGTCAGCGCGTTCTTCCGCACCCTCCTCGAAAACGCCATCCCGTCTCCAGCCCAGTCCGTCCATATATTCACGGGCATCCTGCTACTGACCGGGTTCATTGTTTTGCTCATCCTGAAACTCCTGCTTGGCATGGTCCTGCTCGCGTTTGCACGCTCCCGATACAGGACGATGAAGGGTCGGGAGAGCGAGCGTAGACAGTGCTCGAACAACCAGTCCGGTACTGAGAGTGGAGCACCTCGGTCCCGTGATTTCTATGTCGAGGGTAGTCAGCGCGTTGGTGGGTGGGGTGTTGTGGAGGTTGGGGATGAGAAGCGGAGGTTGATCTATGCGGATGATCCGGATGGGTTGCGGCGGTTGAAAGAGAAGGAGGAGAAGGATAAGAGTAAGGATGGGGAGTTTAATGTTGATCATGTACAGCGGTATGAGATGATTGCCAAGAAGATTTGGTGATTGGGTATTGGTTTGTTGTCGATGGTGGGAAGGTGTAGATTGTATAACTTAACAGATAGATGTATAATACTCTCGTATTCTTATTTACATTGTTTTAGTCCGTGGAATCGCGTAATAAAGGGGATATCAAGATTACTTTCAAGCTACTTGTTATCTATATATTCGCCGTAGTAAATGGGGGGGGGGGGAACAAAAAGTGATCAATTCATGTCATCGGGAATAAGAATTTGAGGAAGGATATCAAAGTAAGGCGAATAGGGGTATGTACAAGATCTCGAGAGGATCGCTGGTCATGATCAGTATTAGCGAGTGGTCTGGTCATCAACCACAGGAGAGCCAGCTCCTGGTTTTCATCGTAATAAGTGCTCATGGCCTTCAAGTGAAGGGAACCTTATCAATATTGGTGGGTATTTGAGCGATTGAATGTGTGCCCTGGTGGAGCGCGATGCATGGCCGACGGCGAAGTGGTGTTTGCTCGAATAAAGCTAGACGGACCAGGAGGCCTCTGGGAGCGAGGCTGGGGTGTGTTATGAGCCATTGACGGGTTGAAAGCTGCGTAGCGGCCATTTTGAGGAGCGGGAGTCGCAGAACTCATTGGAGTGAACGTCCTTGGAGGCTGTTGCAATGCGGGTGCTTGTGGGGGAGGTGTGGGTTGGTAGCTTGCCGGGGTGTTGGACAGAGAGGGCGCAGGCATCGCACCGATGCTAGCCGGCGTGTATGATCTTGTTGAATATGGATCCGGTGGGCAGTAATCGTGCTGTACACGAGGCGCGCCTCTCTGTCCACCGGGAGTCCCGTATCTTACTCCGTATCCGTCCTCTCCGCCGTACGTATCCCTCGCAGGACCGTAGGGGTCGTAGTGAGCAAGCGCATTGCCACGGTTGAAATAATCGTGATCATCAGGAGCGTCCACGCCAGCCGAACCATAACCAGGAGCTGGGGCGTGGCCCTGGTATGGCCGAGAATCAGAGCTATCGGTCAGGTTGCGATATCCATGACCGGGAGTATTACGATCATCGCTGCCATATGGCGCAGGCGTCGCTCGGGAGTGAGGAGTGGCCATCCTTGATGGAACGTTTGCCGGCAAGGGAGGAACAGGGGGAAGTGTCGGGTTCTGGCGATCAAGAGGAGTGTATCCCATTCCGGCCGCATGACCTGTCAGTGAAGCGGACTCGGACATTGCTGAAGATGAAGTCCCAGTTCGAGTCAGTGTTGGTTTGGCATCGAGATCCAGATTCGGCAGAGTCGGGTTGGGCGCCGGCGTTGTCGACGAGGCCGATCGCGAGTAAGGCGGCAAAGTAGTCTGAGTAGTACTTCGCGACAGCGAAGCCACTGTGGAAACTTTATCCCCGGCGAAAGATGGCAGAGTCGGGTTCGAATCTGTGGCCAGCATTGGGTGAGTGGGTGCTCGATTCTGTAATTTGAGTCCCTTTGCCAAGGCCTTGGTGTTCTTTCGGTGCACGATACGCTTCAGACGTTGACCGACCTTCCGACGGCAGTACCTCGAAAGAGTGCCGTCTTCCGCTGGGATATGGTGGAACAGGAAGATCAAATAGAGTACGATCGCCGAGATCAATTTGAGAACTGATAGGACCCAAATGACCAGGGTGAACAGCATACCAAACAAGACCACAGCTTGAAGGTTGTTGTCTTCAGCCATGATCTTAACGTTGTTGAAGAATTGAGCAACCGAGGAACTGCCATCGTCGTCGGCCGCATTCTTTCCCCCGGGAATGAGGTCCATCTGCATGACCGAATAGAGAGTGATGGCATTGAGGACTTGACGTGGTCCGTCTGCGAAGATCGTGTTCATCCAGACTAAAAATTCCGTTAACAATTTTCGACGAGCAGTTAAGTAATAGTAGCACACTTACACTGGAAAGAGAAGTATGCATAAAGAGCAACATATTCTGCTGCTTTCCTGTCTTTCGTTAATTCCGCAAACACAAGGAATCTCCTGTATCCACGACCCCGCTTGCCGAAGCGAATACTCTGGATACGCACGGCCAGCGGATCCAGAAAGCTGCGAGTAATACTACCCGAGCGGATGGCGCGGATGGCATGTACCCATCGGTAGGCCAAAAGAATGAACGAAGCAATGATACAGGCGGCGAAGATCCAGCGGGAGATATTGAAGGGAATTGCGGGTTGAACTTGGCCGGACCAGCGAGAGAAAGCCAGCAAATTGATTGCAGTGAATGTATCGACACCGTAGACTGCAAGCGAGATAAATAAGAATACCCATAAGAAGAAATATGAGAAGGGTGTCCAGCAAGACTCGGATTTAAAGTCGTCCAAGTTCTAAGGGAGTACTTATCAGTATGCCGAGCCATGTATACAAAAACTGTCATCATGTAGACCTACCACGTAGTCCCATTTCTCCTCCATCGCTACATCCCCCTTCTCACGGTCTCCACCGCACAGCATTGTGTCAATTGACCTGGTCCTGCCAGGAAGTGATCACGGAGGATTGAAAAGAGAGGCAGGATCACGGATGATCAAAGGTTGACTTCCTCGGGCCAGCCGGGCAAAGTCGTGATTGAGGTTTGGAAACAGGTGTAAAGGGTAGAGAGAGAGTCAAAGGTCGGGCGCAATGAGGGGAATGATAGTATCTTAACCGCGCGAATGGCGCATCCCTGCGGAAGGCAAGGAGGGAGGCTGATCGCGGTGTCAGGTATCGAGTGCTGCAAGCCACGTGTATATGATCACAATAAAGCGCTGGTGTTCCAGGCGTGCATTGGCGTATTCAAAGCGACAATGCACACGCTTTCATTGAAGACCGCCGATCTCCCTTGCCAAGAAAGGGGTCACGATTGTGTGGAGAAAGAATGCGCAATTGCCGGATAGAGAGAAACAGGTGGAAATAGGGTTGTGAATGAGTGTGGCCACTTTTCCAAGGGTTGCGAGGGCACTGAAAAATGAGTGACACAGTGGAATGGAAATTGAGAAAGGAGAAGAAGTGAAACACATCAAGGGGAGAAGGAGTTCGGCAGGGGTGGGGCGGGAAGTTACAGGCACGGGTTTAGGGCTGAATGGGCTTCTCTTTCAGCTATTCATTTAGGGTTTCTATTTATTCCTTTGTTCTTTCATCCTTTCTATGTTCTAAATTGGGAATATCCTTACCTTCATCAATACCCCGAACTATTTGCATATGGATATTCTTGGACCAAAGATAACAAGTCTCACTATCTCACTGGCCCACTTTCCAAAACCCTGAGACACAGACGGGGAAAATGGGTCCGTCATTCTCCATTCTGACTGCTCACTGGCCACCAGTACGCGCCAGGGGGTCCATGTACCTAAGCGCTGATTCCGGGCGCTACACGGTTTGACGTACAATTTCCAAGGCCTAGTGCTATCTTCTTTGTTCACTTTTGTTTGTTTTCTGATTTGCTGTCTCGTCTCAAGTCGGTAAACAAACATGTTGATACCTGAGGTGACACTTTTGCCTATTTTAGGCATCACATGGTTCCCTTGGAACAAGCTCTTTCCAAGATTAACGCCAAGACCTCGATAAGCACTGATCCATTCAGACTGCCTATTCATTCCCTCCGTTGTTTATACGCATTCTGTCGAAAAATACTTGAGAATAGCACGTCTGACCCCGCATATCGAGAACAAGGCCGCGGGCCATGTCTCATATGTACTTCACATCAACCCCAACCCCCCGATCCCTAACCCACAGCCCCCAGAAATTCCACAATCGGATAGCACCCAACCCCCCAGGCTATTCCATCGCATATCTCGCTATATTTTACCAGCCTTCATCTCACGCCGACCACATTGAGAATAGTGAGATGCTTTTATCTCCTGCATCGAACTTTTCCACATAACACGGCGATGAGTAAATTGTTGTCACTGTCCATTCGGTTGTTGCGCCGACGTGATTTACGTTCCCTTGATTCTCCTATCCCTCGTAAGATGCGCATGCCACTGCTTTATCACAACAAACCACGTTGCGCATTCACTGCCACCACATCCAACCCAATGGAGACCGATGACGACTTTGAGGCCGAGGTCCTCTACGAGCCTCTTGAGGGAATTGAAAGACTTGAGAACTATCGACCAGGGGGTTATCACCCCATACAAATCGGAGATCACTTTCACAGTCGATATAGAGTTGTTCATAAGCTGGGACATGGGTCTTATTCAACTGCGTGGCTGGCCGTGACGACAATGCAATAAATACGTTGCACTAAAAGTTTGCACAGCAGACAAAGGAAGTGGACATCATATCCATTCTCACTCGTCCTCATTCTTCTCCAGTCAACACCCAGGAAAGGCCATGGTCCCTTCGATTCTAGATAGGTTCACCATTCATGGCCCGAACGGCAATCATGCTTGCTACGTTACAGTAGTGGCGAGGGCTAGCCTCTCTGGGTTGAAAGATGGTGGGTGGACCCGTTTATTCCAGCCTGACGTTGCCCGGTCATTGGCTGCACAACTCGTTCTCGTTTTAGATTATGTGCATGCCCAAGGAATTGTCCATGGCGACGTTCACCTGGGCAACATTCTTCTCAAAATTCCGCCCGATTTTGACCAGCTCTCACTCGAACAATTATATGAGAAATATGGAGCACCGGAGCTAGACCCAGTGCTTCATCTAGAGGGAAAACCGCTCCCTCCCGGTGTCCCAGCCCACGGCGTTGTACCTATATGGCTGGGAGAAGCAAGTGAAAAGATCACACTTGCAGAAGCTAGGATCTTGCTTACAGACTTTGGTGAATCCTTTTCGCCCTCAAAAGAACCGAAATGCGAGTCTCGCACCCCCCTCGTCATCCGCCCCCGGCTCGGTTTGAACCAAATAAGCCTCTGTCTTTTTCATCGGACATCTGGACTCTCGCCTGTACCATATGGTCTATCATCGCCCAACGGCCATTGTTTGAAGGATTTATGGCCACGGAGGACTATATGACGACTGAGCATGTGGATACTCTTGGTATTTTACCATCTGAATGGTGGAGCCGGTGGGAGGCGCGACATCACAAATTTACCGAGGATTGTAAGCCAATAAAAAACTGTGAATATTTCCGATCCTGGGACGATCGGTTCAGGCGTAGCGTTGAAGAGCCTAGGCGAGATAGAAAGATCCCGTCGTTTGATGCAAGGGAGAGGGACGCTATCTTCGAGCTGTTACGGCAGATGCTCTCATTCAGACCCGAGGATCGTCCTACTACCAAGCAAATTCTCGAGTCAGAATGGACGGTGAAATGGGCTCTGCCTGAATATGGCAAGATCCAAAATACTGAATGAGGTATTCTAGGGTCTGTCATTTTCATCCGCTCGCGTTGTGAAGGATAGGACGCTTATATCTGAAAGACGTCTGGACGTCTAGGTCGGATAAGCCACCGAATATCCTTCTATGTAAAATAAATCTCTTCTTAATCATATGGCCACATTCCAATCAAATACAAAATATGATAGATAGACAAACCTTCTGTTCTCGAAGGTTGACTTCCGGGGCTTTTTATTCCTCCGCCTTGTGCTGCTTAAGTCCGTCGTTCGTCCGAACCGGCCTATAGATGCACCGAACAGCACATAGCACAAACCCCCCCCCCTGCAATATAAATACATGTACGACGTGTTTCACTTGTTTCACCCTCAACTAATCTCCAAAATCGACAGACCCTTCAATCGCCGATATCCCCCACGTCAGTTCACTGCTGTGAACGTTGAAAATGGTGTCTCTCCCAGACGTCCAGTCCTCAAATGCCCGGATCACCAACACGCTCCCAGCAGGCCTTGTGGCAGTCTTCGTAGGCGCAACAAGCGGCATCGGCGAAGCAGCCCTGAAAGAGTTCGCCCGCTCCACCCGATCTCCTCGTGCGTACTTCATCGGCCGCTCGCAAGAAGCCGCCGCCCGCATCACAGCCGAATGTCGACAGTTGAACCCGGAAGGAGAATTCACCTTCATCAAAGCGGACGTCAGTCTGATTCGGAATGTCGACTCAGTCTGTCGCGAACTTCAGAGTAAAGAAAAGAGTATCAACATCCTTTTCCTTAGCTGTGGAACTATTCGTTTTGGAGAAGGTAGGCAGCACATTCTTACATCACCTACAACAAAAAGAAATTGTTGCTCATGATATTAAATAGATACATCCGAAGGCCTCCATGTCATGACTGCAACTGGATACTACGCACGAACACGATTTATCACCAACCTCCTGCCCAATCTCAAACAAGCAACGAAGCTACGGCGTGTCGTCAGCGTCCTAGCAGGCGGCCACGAAGGTCCCATCGACGTAAGCGATTTCGAAGGAAAGAGCATGTCCATGCTAAAGATACGGGGACACCTTGTATCCATGACTGACATGGCGCTGGAAACACTGGCCGAGCAAGCGCCAGAAGTGACGTTTATTCACGATTACCCCGGCGCCGTTAAGACAGGGATTGGGCGCGAGTCGAATACTCCCCTGGCCTGGTTTATGACTATCGTGCTTATGATTATCGGGCATTTGTTCTACATCCCGATTCGGGAGTCCGGGGAGAGACATCTTTTCTTCGCAACGAGTGCTAAGTATCCTCCCCGCGTCCGCGTGGATGCTGTGGGAGATTCCTCTGGTGTGCCTTTGTCGGAGGGGGTTGAGGTTGCCAGTGGGACGGATGGGAAGGTTGGGAGTGGGGTTTACAGTATTCACTGGAGTGGGGAGCATGCTGGTCCTAAGGTTGTGAAGTTGTTGGCTGGACTCCGCGAAGAGGGGATGGCACAGAAGGTATGGCAGCATACGGTTGGTGAGTTTGATAGAATTACCGGATCGGCGGATACCTAGGTCAGAGTGTGCTTCTGGTGGCGCCTATTGTAGGAGTTCATCTCATCTCTTGTACTATGTATTGCAAACACGACTTTTTGATAGAACTACATACTATTTATCTAGTTATATGTTCTTAAAGGATAGTATTTATAAACCTCTAGAATATAGCGGGTCTATTAGTTAAACCGAATAGTAATAAACGATCTATATCTTACATGAATATAATAAGATCTTTGGCGGCTAGTATTGAATAGATACCGCAGAATCCTTACTGTATATTAAGTTCAGTAAAGAGCTTAGCCTTACTTATACGCTATAATATCCTTCCGAGGGAATATGATTACGCCTGGGATTTTTACACTAATCCTAGGGCCGATTATGCGATATAGCTCCTAGTTATAATTGGCCAGGACATAAAAGTGAAATGAAACGAGACATTCTCTTGAGAATACTACAAAGATAGCAGGCACTAGAAAGTGCCGATACCGATACTATACACGCGATAAGTGGGAAGGCGAATTCAGGAAACGAACAGACCGATAGCAAGAACCGACTAAGGATCTTAGAGACAACATGCTGTAAGCACTAAGGATCAGAAGGGAGCGAGTTGTATTAGGAAGAAAGAGAGACATGCTCCTAATCGACTATCTAGCACGAGGGGCTCATGTCTAAGGCATCGAGGGTGTAGAAACAACGAAGGGCAGTTAAAGAGTGTGGAAGCAATAGAAAACAGAAGAGATCCGGAGCGATTCACCACTGTGAGCCAGGCAAGAAAACCAAGGTAGGCGAGAAGGGAACGCAGAGGGCACTGAGGGGACAAGCACCTGGCCAATGAGGCTCAACGCAAATTTTGGCTAAGCTTCTTGTAGCATCGATCCAATCTTCAAGTCGGCCTCGTGATGACCTATGGTTTGTAAAGCCATTTCCACTTAGAGACGATCGTTGGGGATAAGCCCAGTCACACTTCCGACGCCGCTACGATCCCTTCCAACTCTTCAGTGAAAAAGGGCTCTACCCTTTCAGCAGTAGAGATCCGATTTGTCGTCGAAACGGCAAGCTCCATGGTACCAGCGGGTGAACAACTAGGTTTGTTAGCTCTAGGAACTTCTGCAGTGGTGGCTTCAAACCTACGTTGATGGTGCCACCATCACCGTAAGACCAGAATGCGTTGTTTTTGCCCATGTAGAAACAGTCGTAGCTGGAACTGGTTAGTATTTCACAGTACTTTCATGCCAACTCTAAACTTACTCGGTAGATGCTGGCCAAACAGAAAGTTTTTCGCTATGTAGGCCATAAATTCCTTCCGGATTCTGGACTCCGTAGCCCTTGTTGTAGCAAATTGCAGCCACGGCTGTTTTTGGGTCGGGGTTATGGTCCATCATGCCCTGGGTTACTGGAAAGGGGTTGTTAGCGCTGGATTTCCACAGACAGAAGTAGTTCCCTCTTTTCCTACCTAGCTGGGTGAATTGTTCCCTGGCCTAGATGAGGCTGTCAGTTTCCCGTCACATAAAAGGCAGAAGTAACAACAACAACAAAACAGAGACAATGCGGAGGGAGAGCAAAGAGAGCATTGTTTAGTACCTTATTCCAATTCTTCAGGCCCTTAACCTGATTGACAGCGGCAGAACCGGCAGCATAGATTGCCTGCCCGTATGCAACATTGCTAGCGCTATGGGTGTTTAGGCGCTTGGCCAAACTCGGGTCCGCTTTGGACTCCTCCAAAGCCATTTTGAAGTCGCTCTCAAAAGCATCCCAGTCGGGCTTGAAGTCGTCAGCTACAACAGCAGCCGAGCTATCAAGTCCGTCCGGAGCAGGAGAGGCAGTGGCAAGCCCAAGCAGAGAAAAGAAGACGACTTGGCTCAGACGCATCTTGCCAAGTTTGATGAGAAGAGTGACTTGTGGAATGAAGAGAGGCTTTGGGGTTTGCCGTTTGGGCTGCGAGGCCGGTATTTATGCTCCATTTCTTCCTGGCAACTCCAGATCATCACTCACTGATCTCGGCAATACAGGACTTCGCAAGATCCTTCCGGAACCCCCGGATGAGCGATTTTCTTAATCACTTCAAAAGCAGTGACTTGGAGTCGTTCATGTTTCCCACTGTCTTAGATCTGGGGAAGAAAAAGTTGCATGCATAAATGATTGGCTTTGGCCTCTACTAATGTAACCTAGTTTTTAGGCTCGTCCCATACTTAAATTAAGTATAAAGTTTGGCTGCGGAATAGTGGAGAGTCCAGAAGACCACTAAGCCGCGCGCGAGTGAGACACTCGTGGACAATACCATTATTCCTGATCCTTTGGAGAGCGCGTTTTCTGTTTGGATTATATAGGAATACCAATCTCGGATCCAATAGAGTGTCTCACTCGTGGAGAAACTTGTCCTATTAACCGTCGTGTCGGAATATCTCAGCTATTTCTTGTAAAGTTACTGTCGTAGAACTAGTAAGAGGCTTCATTTCGGCTATCCCAATATCCCGCTAGAGGTAAGACACCCAGGCACCGTCTTCCGCTTACAAATGCTCACTATACTCATTTTCCCGGGCTTTTTGTTCTTGTTTCAGCGAGAATGTTATATAGTAAAGCTGCTTCCGTCCTCCCACCACTCGTCGCCTGCCTAACCAAGACCTTTTGACTACCGACTTGTTTCGACGCTCACCGGCATCTGTTTATTCTATCTCCTTACCTTAGTTTTCCTGTCTTTTGCACGAAGATATGAAGCTATCGATTCTTATTTCTAGTTCGCTTTTGTAAGCCAGCCTCATGTCAGATTATCACGTTGTGTCTTAACATACCCTCCAGCTTCGGTGGCGTTCTTGCCGATTTACACAACTTCTGCGCCTGTGGTAAGCGCCACGGTAGCAACTCTGTCCAAGACGCATACGTGAGTATGACTGGGTCACTGCAAGGTTACAGGAACTAACTTCTTCTAGTGGGACTTTGATACCGCTGCCACAACTTTTGCATGCACCCGATACCGGAACCGCAATACAGGCACTAAAGAATGGGATAGTTGTCCTGACTGTGAGGCATCCGCACCCGAGCAAATAATAATGCGATTTTCTAATCCGAGCTTAACTTACAGGCAAACTGGACACATACGCTATGGATGGGTGGTCTGGTACTCCTTCTTGCTTCTCCTTCGGCTTTCATATGGGTGGTGATGAGTTTGATTACTACTGTGGCTTGAAGGGCTTGCAAGGATACTGTCAGAACGCGGATTAAGACATAACCCAGCTTGTTTGTGAATTTCAGCAGAGCAGACACCAAGCATCAAGATTTAACTGCTCTATTTTATCCCTGAGGAACCGCGTAGTTCTAGGAAGTCCCGCCTTGGGTACATATGTAGGTAGCGATTACTCCAGGGCTCTAGGGCTTAGTAAACATATAAAGTCGCAGGCGCCCGGTGGACCCGGGCGGCTTGGAAACTTCGGAACCTTCCACGTCGCAAGGGGCTTTTCATTATAGCAATCTCGTGGCTTCCTAAATATATAATAGTCTACCGTCTAACTAACTAACTATGTATCTATCTACCTAGGTATAAGTAGCCCTGGAGTAGGTAGGACTATCCAATAAAAACCATGCGAGCCTTACAGAATCTCACCCGGGAGGCGCCCTCGGCACGGGTGCACCCTAGGATACCGAAGCCTCCAGATCAAATGCAAGACTGTTGAATAATGTAAATATCATATGCTCGACATAATTCCTTCATCATATGAGTATAATTCGACTTATCCAAGGGGGAGGGTCTCCTTCCATTTTTAGATTTATTTCGTTTGGGTTTGCAATCTCCCGAGGTCCGCACTTGTGAAATGTCACTCCCAGGCAACCATCTCAAACTCCACCTTGTATCCATGTGAATTGTTTCTGAACCTAATCTCAGCTGTGCAAAGGTCATCCACATTTCTGGAGGTTGCATTGCTATTTCTCACACTGTACTCCGTATCTGATTCAGACCTCACTGGAACCAACGAGAGCCAAGCATTTTGTCATCCGTCTACACCCCTCACGAGGCTCTTCGCTGGTGCTACTAAAGAACTAATAAGAACTAATCGAAACTGGGAGCTTGTTTGATAATTAGGGAGATCTTCTCTTATCTTCTCTGCTGTATGTGGGATTGGACCTGTCAAATTATAAAATCTGTTTCCCCCGGATACTCCTAAAAATCCCGCAATGGGACGCATCAGCGACAGCTTTACCATTCTCTATTTCGCCCTCGTCGCCGGGATATACCTCAAGCCGGAGTATGCTGTTTTCAATTCCAGGTTTGCAACGGCTGCTCTCCTTTTCGGGATCACGACTGCGTCTAAGCTTGTTTATCGGCTTGTGTTGTATCCCGACTACTTCACTCCGTTGAAACACATTTATTCACCTGCAGTAAGCCAGCCCTCTTTCCTATGGATTAACGAATTTGCCTAATACTATCTAGGATCGCAGCTGGCTCACCGGTAATTCTCCGAGTTTCTTGATCGAGACCCCCTATCCGCAGCTACGGGAGTGGGCCAAGAACAGGCCTAATCAAGATCTTATCCGGTACTATCTTGTCGCAAACCTCGAAAGAGTGATTCTAACAAGCCCAAAAGCATTGGGTGAGCTGCTTGTGACCAAAGTCTACGATTTCGAAAAGCCCGAATTGGTCCGGCAGAGCTTGCGGCGTATTACAGGCGATGGGATCCTACTCGCTGAAGGTGAAGAGCATAAGGTGAACTCGTCCCTCCAAATGCCGCTCTACACGGATACAAACTTACAATGTCTCCACTAGACGCAACGCAAGAATCTCATGCCAGCCTTTGCCTATCGCCACATCAAGAACCTCTACCCAGTCTTTTGGAGCAAGAGTGTAGAAATGGTCAAGATGATTGAGGAAGACCTAAAGAGCAGAAAGGCCAACGGGAATAACGACAACACAGTCCAAATCAGTAACTGGGCAAGTCGAGCAACCCTGGACATAATCGGCGTCGCCGGTATGGACCATGACTTCGACTCTCTTCGTGATCCCGAGAACACCCTCAACCAGTCCTACCGCAAAATCATGTCCTCGCCACCCCTGATCATGAAAATCCTTTTCGTGATAGGTATGATGTTTGGTAACCTAACATGGATCCACTCATTACCGACGAAACGCAACAAAGATATCAAGCAGAGTGGCGAGGTCATCCGCAACGTCGCACGGCAGATGATCAGACAAAAGAAGGCAAAGATGGAAGACCCCAAAGCTGAAACCGGCATTGATATCATCTCCGTTGCACTAAGCAGTGGCACCTTCGATGAAGAAAACCTCGTGGACCAATCCATGACCTTCCTAGGTGCAGGCCACGAGACAACCGCCACAGCACTACAGTGGGCAGTTTACGCCCTCTGCAAGAACCCCAATGTCCAAACTCGTCTACGGGAGGAAATCCGCGCCAATCTGCCCTCTCTCGACGATCCGAACCCAATCTCCGCAGCTGCAGTCGATAATCTGCCCTACCTAAACGCAGTGTGCAACGAGGTCCTCCGCTTCCACCCATCTGTGCCGATGACTATACGCAAGGCGGTTCGTGACACAACCCTTGCAGACAAATATATCCCCAAAGACACGACATTCACAATCTCCCCGCAAATCCTGAACCGACTGGAAGAACTGTGGGGACCAGATGCGAACGAATTCAACCCGGACCGCTTTATGGGTCCCGGTAAGGCTAACACCGGCGGTGCGGTTAGTAACTATGCCTTTTTGACTTTCTTGCATGGTCCGCGTAGTTGCATTGGGCAGGGCTTTGCAAAGTCGGAGCTTGCTTGCTTGATTGCTGCTACTGTCGGTCGGTTTCACATGGAGTTCAAGTTTCCTGATGCTAAGTTGGAGATTCGGGAGGGGGCTACCGTTTCACCTAAAGATGGGGTACTTGCCTTGCTTACGCCGTTGGAGGGGTGGTAGATCTGAACTAGCTGTGCCTGTTGGTTTTGTATGGTCCTTGCTGTATATATTGTCAGTCTTTTGGGTGATTTCGTCTTCGCATCTTTGCGTACTTGAAGGCGAGCTACCAGGGTGCTGTTGCAGACAGTCAGTGCAACATTTCGTTTCCATGAATTGCTATTCTCAAAGATATACACATTAAGAGATTACAAAGATGCATTGATAGAATGCAACTAGAACTAGAAGCCCTGGTTGATACCTGAGGCACCAATCAGGTGCTCTTTGCTCACGTGATAATGCCAAGCCATGTGGAGCCGCAACACCGCCCCACGGGGTTCCACGGGTCCAGATAGCCTCAACCAGTTGCTGTTGCATGCGAGGGGAGGAATACCCGAATACTGAATAGAAGCCACTGCAAACATGGGCAAACGAACATTCAACGATATCCGACCACAATATCCCATTTATCATCCAGGCCAGAGAAAATGGCCCATGATCCTCCTGGCTTGTTCGTTCCTTGGTTTACCTTGGTTACTCGCATGCTTGTATCGGACGGGCGCTCAACATTTTTTACCTCACACTCCACGTTCAGGCGACCCGGTGGACGATAAATCATGGGTGTCTCCTTGGCCATTAGTATGGCTTGTTCGCTTTTGGGTTAACGAATCTATTGCTTATTCCACATTGTCACTAGATCCACCCGTCAGAAAAATTATCATATACTCCATGCTTTGATAGTTACCAATGCGCTCGCCTCGAGGTACCGATGGATTGGAACAGCACAAATAAGGCCAAAGAGAAGGTTGCCCTTGCAATCATCAAACTCCCTGCCGTGGTCTCAGTAACAGACCCTAGATACGGAGGAGCTATTCTAATCAACCCAGGCAGGTTCAACGGAGGAGCTTCCACAAAGACGAAAGCTAATTGATTTTAGGAGGGCCGGGTGCATCGGGCGTCAATATGATTTTGGGACAAGGGAGGCGCCTCCAGAAAATAGTGGACTCCCAAAATACGCCTGTACCTGTTCAAGTGAGTTCGACTTCGTTCCAATGCCTTGGTATATTGCTCTCTTGGAATATAGATTTACGCTAAATTTTCAAGGCTTCCCCGACGGCCAATGACAAATACTATGACATTATAGGATTTGATCCCCGTGGCATTAACAATACTACCCCGCGATACGAGTGCTTCACAGATCCGCATTCTCGTCAGCGCTGGTCTTTGGACAATGAATTCCTCGATCTGTTAGGCAGCTCGACCGTGGCAACAGAGCAAGCATGGGGAAGAGCCATGGCATTAGGTGCTACGTGTACACGGGAAGATGGCCCAAAGATAGGGCGATTCATGAACACTACACCAACCGCGGCAGATATAGTTGAGATTATTGAGCGACTCGGAGAATGGCGAGAAAATGCAGCCGAAGCCATAATTACCAGCAAGGTAAGCCTTTCGGAGGTCCAGAAACAGGAAATTCGTGATGCGGCCCGATGGAAAGAAGGCGAAGAGCTTCTTCAATACTGGGGCTTTTCTTACGGTACGGTATTGGGGGCGACATTTGCAGCTATGTTCCCTCACCGTGTTAAGCGTCTGGTTCTCGATGGCGTATGCGATTCTCAGAGCATGTACTCAGGTTACTGGACAGCGAATGTTTTGGACACCGATAAAATCATTGAGAAATTCTTTGGAATCTGCCATCAGGCTGGGCCTGAGAAATGCTCATTCGCGAGTGACAACACAGTCGAAGAAATGAGAGGCAGTCTGGACAAGACTCTTGCATCGCTTAACAAAACTCCGCTGGTTGTACCGGGTTCCGAGACAAGGGGGCCTGATATTATCACATACAGCGATGTGATGCGAATCATCAAAGAGTCGGTATATGAGCCCCTGGAAAAATTTCCACTACTAGCCGACGTTTTCACGGATGTCTCTCATGGAAACGGAAGCATTCTTGCAGACCTGAAAAGTGCGGATAAAGTTCCAATCTGCCCAAGTGATAATAGCGAAGACGGCTTTAAGACCTGTCCTCCTTATAAAGAAACTCTTTTGGAAACTTTGGCGTCAATTAGCTGCACAGATGGCGAAGATCGTTCCGGTCTAACGAAGCAGGATTTCTTCGATTACTACGAAGTTTTGAAGAGCCAGAGTAGATGGATGGCCGACATCTGGGCTTCCTTTACTATGCCTTGCTGGGGGTGGAAAACTAGGCCGGAATGGAGATACGAGGGTATCGCCTATTGTCAATTCTTTCTCGGACACCTGTTTGACCATTTTTAGGACCTATTGCCGGTAGTCCAGCCCACCCCATTCTATGGATTGGGAATGCCTTGGATCCAGCCACACCACTCAGAAAGTATCCGGCCTGAAACACTCATACTTGCGTCCAGATCAATGTCTGACTGCTTATATCTAGCGCATACAAAATGGCGACCAGGTTCTCAGGCTCCGCTGTTCTTGAACAAGAATCTGCAGGCGTGAGTACAATCTAGCTTGAATTCCTCCTCTTCCTTTCTCATAGATCTTAGCATTGCACCTATTCCTCCGATTCGAAATGCACAGCCGAGAACGTGCGCCAATACTTCCACACTGGCGTACTGCCCGATGCAGGAACTAGGTGTCGTCCTGACAAGGCGCCTTTTGGTGTTTGATAGTTGGCGCTGAACAGCCGTATCGGGGTCGCAAGCCATCCTTTTGCTGGGCGAGGCTTCTCTCGATTGCGAGTGTCAATTTGGGGTCCCTTTTGTTTCGACCATTTTGTGGCGTCGGAGTCTTATATACTGGATATAATGGAATTCATTGCAGTAATCACATTGCTTCATCCGTGTCATTCATTGTCCCTCTCAAGACGAGCATTCAATGTTTCCAATTTGTCACAGCCTCTTTCAAGGAACCCCCTTTCCCAACCCGTATCCGTGAGTGGAGCCCCATGAACGATATCAAAATAGTAATTCCTCACCCACCGCAAACCATTACTTTCAAGCAAGTGCCTTGCTTTAATTGCAAGTCCAGCCTTAATAAGGTTAACCCCCTCCTCTGAAAGCTTGCATTGCTCGTCTGCTAAAGGGGTACCATATGATGGGGAAACTGGCTCAACGAGGTCCTGGAAAAGCAGCAGGGCCTCTCTGGTGTCGCCACGATTTCTCAACCATCTTGCCAGTGTAACTCGCACCCACACCAGTTCCCGATTCACAGGTGGCCGGTTACCCCTCGAAGCATTGATCAAGTCATACAGCAAGTTTTCAGCCGCCGCCGGATCTTCGTCGTACAGCATCAGAGCTTGAAGATGTTTTATTTGACATACACGCTCAAAGTTAGCTGACCTCTTGAGGGCTTCAAGTGGAAGACAGATCTCCAATAACGCTCCCGCTTCTTCGTTTCGATGGAGCTCATGGTATACATAAGCCAGGCTGATGGCGAGATCAACACACAGATAGTTGTCCAAACTCATAGCACGCTGACGCCCTGCAAAGCAAAGGATGTAATGATGCTCTGCGTCTGTTAGTCTGCCAAGCTTTCTGTAAGTAGATGCCATGGCGCTCTGAGTCATAAGCGTCGAAGGGTCGTCCGGGCCATTGAGCTCCATCCAGGTTGCATAGGCACTCTCGTAAAGAACCTGAGCTTCCTGGATCTTATGTTGTCCCTCCAGTGCATATCCAAGGTACAGCTGGTTGTGCAAGAAGAGCCTTGTTGTCGGAACGCCCGTCGCCAGCAGGCCCCTAGACGCTTCTTCCCCCAGCCTCTGCGCTTCAGGAAAATTCAGGGTGTGGAAATTGCTCAAGCACTCGTAACTCATGCTCATGTAGACCTCCCGGTGCGTTGGACCCAGAATCCGAATTCTTTGTCGCCGGATCTCTGCGTGTGACTGGGCTGCTTGTTCATGGAGTCCGCGAACCAAAGTACCTTGACGAAGCAAAGTCAGAAAGACCATTCTCGGCAGTGACTCTAAACTGGTATTAATGTTCTTACCTGTCGCCAGTGCATCCAAGGCCATCAAAGTCATCCGATGTGGTCCCAGCTGATCGTCAAGGCCTTTTGCCGCAGTTACTAACAGATTTAAAGCGCTATCGCTTATGTCCGCCATCCAGGCATGATACTCTGCCAATCTGGAATGAAGGAAGGCAATCGCTAAAGGAAAGTCGTTTGCCATTTTGGTATCCTCGACCAGCTGGCCGTATGCTGATTCGACATAATCATTCATCGGCACAATTTCTCGCAATGATGGTGGCTGGAGAACAAGCCAGGATTTCAAGTAGCTGGCAACGTCCATAGCCGGAGCACCGTGAAGTCCCCCTCGAAGTAAGAAGAGGCTTTCGGCCCATGTAACAAACTGGCGACTCTTGAAAAACTTGGCCACAAGCTTCAGGGTGTTCAAAGGCGCCTGGGGTAGTGCGACCAGATGTGAGTGCCAATTGAGAGCTGCATATTTGTAGAAGCCCTGTAATGTAGATGGATCTTCTACAGCAATCGCGGAGTCCACAGCCTCGCTGTACTTGTACATACTTTGGCGAAGTAAATCAGCAATGAGTGAGCGGCTGTTAAATTCAGGCAGCATGAGCATACACAAGCATCGAGTGGCCATGAATTGATTTGTGGTGGTAGCATCGAGATTAATGGACAAGGAAGTCGGCTTTTCGAACCCAGTCAAGTAATCCTTGACCGAGGCATGAATCAAGCGAGCAGTTCCATCTGCTGTGACCACGAGAGGGCCGCAAAGATTGTCCAGTTTGGTTTCAATGTCGAAAAGCTCACGATTTTTATCTTTGCACAAACGGAAAACATCTAAACTTATCGCTGTACCAATGTCATTAATAGTCAGAAATTGAAAGCTCCCTATAATTAAAGTAAAAAATTGTCGGCGAATGTTGAGATGGGCGCTATCGAGCCCACGACCTGTCTTGCTGATGAATTGGGCATAAACAGAGTCTAGCCCGGGTGGGAAGCTTTCCATAGTCTGCAGCTGGGTTTTGACATCAGGTGCTGCCTTAATGGCATCTAGCATCAGCCGCGCCCACAGAAACATTCCCTGGGAATGTATGGCGCATTTGGCCAACAATCTGTCCTTGATCTCGGCCAGTCGCTGTGTTCGGTCGATTTCAGCTGTGACAAAGGATTGGATATCAGCAGCAATTTGATCAGCCTCAATGGATATGATGGCAGGAGAGCCTAATGATTGATCGATGTGTTTGAAGTATCGGGAACAGACAATTATTCGAGCATCGGTCGTTCGGGCCATCTTGCCGAGATGCCTTAGCACCTTCTTAACATCTTCGTTCTCAGCGCACTCGTCGATACCATCCACAATAAGTGCAAATGCCGGGCTTTGTGCCACTAAGGACTCCAATATCCGCCATATCATATCTAGGGGACAATCTGTCCCTTTAGTGTATCGGTCCATCAAGCCTTCGATGCTTGATATTGCCTCAAAGAGCCCTTTCGATTTACTGAAAGTGGGAGAAGTCATGATGTCCGTAACGATAGAGCATACCATAGCTGACGGTGTAGAAGAGTCCTGGGACTTTTGGAAAAAGTAGCCGAAGACGCCCCCTGGCGTGTCGGCAAGGTTGAAGCCATTATGCATCAGATAGCCGGCCAGGACACTTTTACCACACCCTGCGAGACGATTAATTCAGTATTCGGATATTCAATGCTCTTTTGCAAAGTAGCGACCTACCAGGTATGCCATGGATCCACAGTGGAGTTTGATGACCGTCAGCTTTCCAGCCTAGGAAAGCCTTATGAGTGGCGATCCATTCACACGTGTCCTTTTCCCAATGAGAAATATTCAAAGTTTCCGAGGAATCTGGTCGAATCCATCTGATTGCAGCTAGCTGCCGACTCTGGATCTCGTGGGCTAATTCAGACTTAGCTAATGTGCCAATCGATTGAGGGTTGTGCGGTAATATACCTTGAGCGTCTCGCAGGTATGATGCGAACGCTACCAGTGCGGATTCTTGGTCTTCGATTCTCAGTTAATCTGTCAACTGTACTTAGACGGGGAGGGAACCTACTGTTTTGGCTATTCTTCGACATTGCTGTGAGGTTTTCGCACTTGAGATTGATGTTCCGTAGCACGTGCATTTGGCCTTGAAGGACAGGGTCGAAGGCGTCAGATAATTCATTGTTTCATGGCTTATATACAATCCATACCTTCACTTATCAGTGCTTGCGTTTTCGAATCTGCCGAAGCACGAACGAACTGTTTTTGTTGCTCTAATTCGATATGTGGTCAGAACAAAGTCTCACAGAAATTCTGGTGCATACCAATTTGTGAAGCGAGCAAAGCTTCCTTTTCTGCGTTCTCGGCCAATAGTGTAATGGTAGCTAAAATATTCTCGACTTTCTCATTGAAAAATGTAAACCCAGCTTTCACGTATCGCTCTAATGATTCCATGCACGCTGGTCAGCCTCTCCTTTCAGGCGACAAAGGGAGAAATGGCTAGAACTCACTATGTGGAGGTGTCTGATGGTATATGCTTGCTCGAACAAGAAAGTTGATGATTTGTGCCAGGAGCTCGACCAAAGCCGTCGAAAGACGGGGGCTAGCTGGCCATAGTTGGAGATAGGTCTCCCAGCGCCCTATATGTTTCAATAGGCCAAGAAGGCTCGATCCTATTTTATCCGAGCACTCGATCTCTCTAACAGCGACCTGTAAGCTCATACGAACCAAGTCAGCCTTGCTATGACCTTTCACATGTGAAGATAGTGAAACCGACAGAAAGCAAGCTTCGGATGCCACCCCACACCAGGGCTGTGATATGTGGCTGATGTTGGATCAGTACGTCCACCACTAGGTGGAAGTTAGCAATATCCCTGCACATAAAAATAAAACTCACCAGTCGCGTTTCGATTGAACCAGAGCAGTATCTCGTCAACTCGACTCGAGAATTTCCATTTTTTCCGTTCGGCGCATTCCTTCGTCTCACGGGCGAAGTCAATTAGCTGATCAACACTCGAAAACGAGTGAATACCAGTCCCCCATCCCGCATTCACATCGATCCTCTTATTGGGGTCTTTTGTTAGAGTCTTATTGTATAACTATATGGGTTGTTAGTCAAACCCCATCCTTCCATTCGGCGATGTGCGAACAGTCTGAGACTCATAAGCTTACATCTACTGCCTGGGTCCACAGAGAGATATCTGGGGTGGTCATGATCCCAGTGATTCTTAGCTATGAAAAAGAGAATATCCAAATGTGTTAAGGTAAGAGTCCTTGACCTCTTCGGCTGTGACAAACTTATTTGTATACTAAAAGGCTACGTACCTACATACTTATGGCACGAACTTCGCAGCCACATAAATATAGCAAGAGCACCAACTGCTTGCATGGCTGAGGCTATGGGGATATAGCGCTGCCAGCACACGGCTGATGCCTCGTTTATTGATTGGTCCTCAAGGACAGGTATGGGGGTAGCGCGAATAGTAAAACCCTCGTTCACCCACGTGTCAGCTAATTCCCGTCACAACGCCATCTATGCACGAATGAGCCATAAAGGAAAAGTAGCATGCAGGTAAGCAGCACCCGGGTGAAATACCCCGCTTATGGTGGTCACAATGAGGCTGAAATAATGAGTAGTAGAGTATTAAAAGGGTGTTTGTTCTTGAAGGCAGATATAATCAATCATATTTGTTCTGTTTTAATACTTCACTGAATTATACGGTCCATACCTGCAAATAACTCACTTTACGAAGTGCTTGATACGATCCCCATAATGCCTATCACGGGTCCCAATCCACAGCCGGTATGTCTTAATTCAACATTTATATTCTCCTTTCAAAGTCTAATGTTTTCTCATTGTCTATTTTTTAAGAATTGCGCTGCAGGTTGCCTAAGCAGCAACACCTGCAAATGTGGCCTCGGATATACGAACGATTCCGGGGAGTGGGTGTCTGGCGACGACGTGAGAGCAGGCAAAGCGCCTCCGGCGCCTGAGAAGCAGCAGGTAAGCATTTACCGACCACGTTTATATTGAATATAATATCTTCTACTTGTTTCACTGGTGCATGAGGCTAAGTGGTACATTTCCATGTCAATCCAGATCCCCTCGGTCACAGATATCCAAAAATAGCTCACTGAGTTATTTCCACTGTTGGGGTTTCTCGGCTCACTACATAATCGTCCTTCTAGTATTGTGTGGGTATGAGGGATCTTGAACAAGCAATAGGGTAAAGGGACCGTAGTCAAGAAGTTGGATGAGTACATTATAGTACGTTACAGGTGTAGTTTGAAGTCGGAAATTGGATTTTGAGAATGTCGGCGTTTCTGCTGAGACTACTAGTTAGCAAGCCGTATGTAAGATTCATGGCTGAATGTTTTGTGTGGCACAGCTTTGTTCAATGTTTGAATATAGCCTCAACTCTCACGCCTTCCAAAGTTACACGGTCACTGCCGGAATCAGGCAAAATCCTTGCCCTACGACATAATGTTCAATTACCATGTAGGCTATCCAACATACAAGCAATTACGTGTCTACTATATGGTGTTTTCCAGATACTCGTGCAAAGAGCAAAGAACAATTGCCGGAGATATACTATCTATATATGAGCCTAGCTGTGAATTCAACTGGAGGGAACCAATTCTACTGATATTGCTCTCGGAAGACCATAATCCTCTCAACTTCGTTGCCAGCAGCATCCTCCTCTACCCAGGCACGCCACATACCACCACAATTGAAGTCAAATACGACCTTGCCCCGATGTAGCTTGACATCCGATGCCCCGTTTATAGGGGCAAGCTCTGCCTCTATACCAATGATACCTCCTTCGCCCTCACCAGTATTATTCCACCTGGAGCCAGCGGAACGTTGAAGTTCACCACCAGGCCCAGAAACAGCCGTCACTGCATCGCCTAGGCCAGAAGGGAAGCTGCCAGGCGAAGAAAACCGTAGCATTGCAGCAGTGGTGCGCGCAGCCGCAACACGAAGGAACGAGTCTCCATTCCCAGTTCCGGAGACTGCAACGGCCCGCCGACGAGAGTATTGAGCAGGTGATTGATAAGGATGACAAGCCTTCTCGGACCCCAGGTTCAGCAGCCGGGAGGAAGCATCAACGGAAAGGGACGAGTAATTAGCTGAGGCCTGATCTCGCAAAAACACCGGCATACAATCCCCCAGCCAATTCCTTGCGTCGCGTAGCAGACCACCCATCGAGGGATCTTCCGGCACTGCCTCGCCACCACCCGACACGATCTCATCCCAGGCCTCAGCCCAGAACCCAGCACCCAAGGTAGGTGTATCACCAATTCTCCCAGGCAACTTATTCGTCAAACCACCAGTACTAGTGGCGACAGCCAAATTCCCCCACTGATCGAGACAGACACAACCGACAGTGCCCTGACTCAACGAAACAGGCTCCTCCTCCCCTTTCAAACCCCTCATATGCTCATCCCACCTCTTCTGCGTAAAGAACCACTCATCGGAACAAAACTCCAGCCCCCATTCCCGAGCAAGTGTCTCAACATACGGACCAACCATCTGTGAATGCATACTCCCTCCGTCATCTATAGGAGATCCATCAGCGGCGACACCCGCTCTAAGGAGCGATTCACGCGCGAGGCGGATTGGATGACGCACATTACGGACGCCCATCACGCCTGCGCCGCGCTTGATTGCGCCTGGTTGTGTTGCGTCTTGCTGGAGGGATGTCACCATTACTGAGGCTTCCATTTCGATTGTTCCGGCTGTTGTGAAGACGCTTCCACGGCCGCAGTTGAAGAGAGGGTCGTCTTCTAGGAGCGAGACGGCGTGGACGGCTGCGTCCAGAGCTGTGCTGCCATTTTTGAGGAGGGCGTGTGTTGAACGGAGATAGGATTGGAGGGAGGCGTGGTGGGCGGCGTAGAGGTCTGGGGGGAGTTTGGAGCGTTGGATATTCCCGGCGCCGCCGTGGATGATTAGAGTGGGTTTAAATGACGCTGGTTTCATCATCTTGCTGGGTAATTGGGCTGGTTGGGATGCTGATGTTGGTTGTGTTTGGTGCGGGGAAATACAAGGCGGAGTAACTTTGTCCGAATTGGGGTATCGTCTTCTATCATTGCGCCATTGCGACTATATAGAGCTATGTACAAAGCTATCTCGTTGTATACTCCGTGTGCAGAGTTGACTCTATCATGATGGCAGATTCCAAATAAAGTCTAATGTTCCACCTTCGTACATTGGAAATTGACATCCATGGCTCATATCAAACGGCGCCATCGATGGATCAAATGGCAGCGAAAGCCAGTTATCTGCACCAATATCATTCAAGGACGGGATGAACCCCATATCAGGTGGTGGGTCTTGCAATACAGGGGCCCTCATGGGATTTGACTGGTCACCAGTGTCTGGCCAAGGAGGGGGCCCCATGGATGATCTTCGCGTAGCGTCTCGACTACTTTTCATGGCTTTCGATGACGCAAGCAGATTGCGCCGCAAGCGCGAGACATGCATATCGAGCAGCGCGGCATACCGTGTGCTCAGATGCACATCATCCAAGGCGTTTGACTTGAGTGCTTTGATGCTCTTTTCTAGTATTTCAATTGATTCCTGGAGCTTGGCTTGTCGTGTGCCCAGACTGAGGGCTTTCATCAAAAAGATCGAGGCACTGGTTATGCGAAGAACAATTCGAACTGGCGAGAACCGCAGCGCCCCTGCTTCGGCCAGATGGGTGACTTTCTGTAATATTTGCCCACATCCATCAATCACCTCTTGGATGTATTCGTAGTCTGTTGGGTCGATGGTCATGGGTCGCACTCCGTCGAAGTTATTGGGATCGTTCTCGGCGACAGCACGCTCGACTACTGCTTGCATTCCCACTGAATGGGTATAGACGCGGACGAAGTGGTATTCGATGAAAAGATCGTTGTAGAATGCTTTGTCAAGTACCTGGGGCTGTAGGTACTTATCTTTCCATTGGTTGAGAAGAGGTCGGAAATGTTCAAGAAGGCTAACATATCGACCGCTGTGCAGTTGCTGGCGTGCAAACGCGGCAGAGGGGAAGAACATATCAGTGACAGACTTGGCTAGCTTGGTAAGCTCAATCCACGAATCCATGAACGTCAACCACGTGCTGCCCGGTGGGCCCAGTCCTTGCGGCTTCAGGATAGCATGGTTTAATGATTGAGGGATCGGTGACATGCATCCAATCCGCCAAGCCAATTGATTGATATAGACGTATAGCAGACGTTGTACGCGCTGCCAACGAATTGTCATCTGATCTCTCCATTCGGGTTCGTCGGCTGGTGAGCTGCTTCCTTCCGACTCGAATATTCCCAGCTCGTGTGCAAGGGACAGCGCACATCCAAGCAACATCCAGGACATCTGGTCAGATCGGCGCGCTGGCTCAATTATATCTTCTACCCCACGACTGCCAGGTGGCGAGCTTGAGCCGTTATTCTCATGGTTCTTTGGGGCTTCTGGGATCAAATCATCGTCCCAGCCATCCGTCTCGGGCGGAAAATGCAGGGCGCGAGGATGCCATTCTGACATCAACAGAAGTGCCTCCACAGTACCGAGGCTCCGCACCTTAGATTTTGTTGATTTCTCTTGCCCGAATATTAGCCGCATCGTCAATTTCTGGCAATGTGACCATAGTCGGTGATGAATAAAGAAATTCCTCGACTCTCCCCCTGCTCCAGGAAGGACATGATAGCGGGAAGAGATCATGAGAATGGTGCAGCATAGAACTGGCTCCCGAGTAACCAGCCAGTAGTGATATCGATGATTGGCGTAGAAATCAGTTAGAATCGGAGATAAACAGGACATATTCTTATAGAACCTACTTCCGGTTAGCTTTTATCTGGCAGAGACATGGAACATGCGAGGGAACACACAGATCAATAAAGGTAACAGCCTCTCTAGCAGTGAACCAGCCCATTTTGACAAACCGACAAGCCTCCCAGACATTGAGAGTGTCTTGAGTGGCCTCGGACAGCTTGACAGGACGTATTACCCGTGCCACCGAGTCGAGCGCGGAATCATAGTTACCAGGTGTTCGATCATGAGTACTCGGACCTACCGATGGAGGCCCGGCTGGTGATTCGGAGCTAGTACCAGGACTATTATCTTCTTGAGCAGTTGCAGCTTCGAAGAGAATATTGAGTGCATCATTGCCGCTTGTGACGACAGTACGCATCATAGAGCTCGCGAGGGTGGAATTCGACCGGTGCCTGTTATTATCATATGTATGAGAAGGGGACTGATCAGTTCGTGAAGGCCCTACGGAAGGGTGATCGAAAGAGCCACGATGAGACCCTGCTTGATCCCGATGATATGGCCATCCCGACTGAAAGTCTGGCTCCTTTTGAAAGTTGATCTCGGGTGTCGAATTGGCTACTTCGCTTGCCTGATGCGGGTTCAGGGTCCGTCCTTGTACGGGGATAGAACCATCAGGGGACGTCGTAAGTTGACTGGCGTTTCCGGGTGATAGATCCGCTTCGTAGCTCTCTGGTGATCGCGCTAGAAATTGACCATTCAGAAATCAGCCAATTTAGATATGGTAAGCATTCAATTCTAGCGCACCTCTTTTGCGGGACCTTTCCCACGCCCGTTTCTCGGGGAACACACACTCCCTTAGTTCCCTTCGGCAGCGTGCACATGGTGGGCCGATCGGAAGACCATCTGGCCCGGTTCCTAGGTCGCATTTGGCCTTCCGTTGCCGGCAAGGGATGCATGCCTTGTAGGTGCGTTGATACGGCTTGTCCGGACGGGATGACCTGACACCATCCATCGTCAACCGTTCCTGGGCGAATTAGCCAGGATTTCGGTGCTGAAGTGGATGCTGTGGATATTTGGTGATGCGATGGATAATTGCAGGGAGACAAAGAGATGCGGTCGAGCCAGGATTATTAGCCGGCGATATCCGTCGGCCCCGCACAAGCTTCTCGTCCATATTAAGGGCCTTTTAACTGGAGGTGAAAATTAATCTAATCATAACATTGCCAATGCATGTATTTGAACATTTTTTTGATGAAGTCATATTTTAGTTTATCTTGAGTTTGATTGGTGATGTTGTCCCCTGCTGGGCAGTCGAGAATCAATAGAAGGAGAAATCACAGATATGTCACGCAGAACATGAAGGCTGCAAGCCTCCGGGGCTCTAATGCAATTCAGGAGTATGATGTGTATTGTAAATATGTAGAATGGGCCATGTTCTAGGCAAATAAATTAGAATAATATAAATGATATCCGAAAGTCATAGCCGAAATGTACAATGTACAGCGCTTGGACTCGGCTTCAAGATGACGGAATTGATTCCGTACAATGCTCTACATGTATAGGTCGGGGCAACGTAACGGCACATAAGAGCCGTGTCGGGGGGAAAGTCACTTAACGTAGTTGAAGTCATGTATTTTGGGTTATAAGCACATGCTTTCTTCTGTCTAAGCTCTTCTCCGTACCTTCATTGCAACTCCAATATCCCATAGATCGAATATCGACACAACCCTTCAGGCACAATGTCCGACAAAGTGACTCTCCACACCTATTTCCGCTCTTCCTGCTCTGCCAGGCTCCGGATAGCTCTGCACCTAAAGCAAATTCCTTTCACATCCGTCTACGTGAACCTCCTGAAGGGCGAGCAATCCTCCCCAGCCCATCTGGCCATCAACCCCTCAGGGACAGTTCCAGCCCTAGTAATCCAATGCGACTCCAAAGCGCCCGTGACAATTACACAATCTCTCGCCGCACTTGAGTACCTCGCAGAAGCATTCCCAGAGCAAGGACCCGCGCTGCTCCCCCCAGCCTCGGATCCAGAGACCCGTGCTGTAGTGCGCACCCTGGTGGACATTATCTCTTGCGATATACAGCCTGTTACGAACCTCAGGATTCTGAAACGTGTTGGGCAGCTGGGTGTTGATCGTGCTGAATGGTCAAAAGGCTTGATGGAGGATGGTTTTAGGGCTTATGAGGCTGTTGCTAAGAAATCAGCGGGGAAGTTTAGCGTTGGGGATTCCATTACCATTGCGGATTTGTGTTTGATTCCTGCCGCCTGGGGAGCTCAGAGGTTCGGTGTTGACTTGGGTCAGTTCCCAGTTACGAATGAGATTGTGAAGAACTTGGAGATGGAGGAGGCTGTTAAGAAGGGGCATTGGAGGTCACAGGAGGATACCCCTGAGGAGTTTCGTATTAAGGAGTAGCTGAAAAGGCTATTAGTCTCAGCCAATGTTCCTGGAACATTTCATCATCGTGCTAGTATAATACTGGCGTTTAATGACATTTTCACAAAAGGCGATCAATTATCCTTGTTATATTGGGTGAATAACATTGGCAGAGATATTTCGCTCCAAGCTCTATAGAATTAAACGAAACTGAAAAGCAACATCACACATTGATCATTTGATTTGATTTTAAGTCATTTAGTCATCTACTGCAGCGGAACGGCTGGAAGGATAGTGCCAACACAGTCGCCGAAGCCGACATAGTTGCCTTCTGTGCCAGCCATTCCGCGCAGAGTAACAGTGTCACCATCCTCAAGGAACATACGCTCAGAGCCGTCCGCCAGTTTAAGAGGAACCTTACCGTTGGTCTGTTCCAAGAAACTACCCTCAGTCTTAGGCTCTTTACCAGAGATAGTACCCGATCCCAGCAAATCACCGGTGCGCAAGTTGCAGCCCGTGATAGTGTGGTGAGCCACCATCTGAGGGAAAGAGTAGAGCAGGTTGCGAGCGTTGCTGTTGGAGATAATAGTGGGCTGACCACCGGGGTTCGTGACCTCGACATCGAGGGGGATCTCGTAGGCACTATCGGCGCGCTTCTCGCGCAGGTAGGGTAGTAGAGACTCGCGGTCCGCAGGCTCCAAGCCAGGAGCACGGAAAGGCTCAAGCGCATCAATCAGAACCACCCAAGGGGTAATGGTTGTACCGAAGTTCTTCGCATTGAAGGGGCCAAGAGGGATGTATTCCCAGGCCTGAATGTCACGGGCGGACCAGTCGTTCATGAGAACCAGACCGAAAATGTGGTCCTCGGCCTTGTCGATTGGGACAGGCTTGCCGAGATCATTGGGCTTGCTGATGAAGCAAGCAAGCTCCAGTTCGATGTCGAGCTTCTTGCAAGGAGAGAAAGTAGGCACCTTGGGGTCCGCGGCGGGGTTCGCTAGGATCTGACCCTGGGGACGGTGGAGGGGTGTGCCTGAAGCTACGACGGAAGAGGCACGGCCGTGGTAGGCAACGGGAAGGTGCTTATAGTTAGGCTGGAGCGCATTGTCCGGGCCACGGAAGAGGACGCCAATGTTGTAGGCGTGGTTCAGACCAGCGTAGAAATCAGTGTAGTCGCCAATTTGCATGGGAACGTGGTTGGTAACCTGGGACAAGGGCAGCAAGGCTGACTTTTGGAGGGAGGAATTGTCCTTAAGGACCTGTGGGAACTTTGTGTCGGCGCGGAAGACGTTTTGTAGATACTCGCGCACTTGTCGGTGCACAGGGCGACCAAGTGCAGCGAAGTCATTCAGTGTCGGCTGGCTAAAAACAGCCAGGTGTTGCTCGATAGCTGGTAGCTGTGAGAAGCCTCCAGATGAAGCGAATGCGCTCAAATTCAATGCATGATCACCGATTGCAATCGCAGCTGCCTTTGGTGCGGATTGTGTTGAGATGATGCCGAACGGGATGTTAGCGAGCGAGAATGGCGAGTTCTTGGGGATCTGGAGCCAAGAAGCCATGATGAATCAATGTTGGAGAAGTTTAGAGAAAGAGAAAGCGACTTCACGGGCCTTAACTACCTAACTATGATGTTTAGCCCCTCGGAGTAGGGCGGAATTGGTCCGCTCGCCCCGCATCCAGCCGATGCGGAATGAAGGATAATCGCGGGAATTACCAGATTTCCGCGGAATGGTGTGACCTCACGTTAATTGCTTCTCTTGAAAGCTGAGATCCTCGGTTGATCTGGGGTATTTGATGAAGACGAAGTCTGCATTATCCAAACCACATCAGACATCATTGCCAATATGCCTGTCACTAATTTCAACCACCCCGATCCCTATAAGTACCAGACGGGCTTCGACTCGTATCACGAGTATGTAACACATAGTTTCTAACATAAATGAAGACAAATTGATGAGTGAATAGGACCGAAGCCGTCGAAGGAGCTCTGCCCATCGGTCAAAATTCCCCGCAGAAAGCTCCCTATGGGCTCTACGCTGAGAAGCTCTCGGGAACGGCGTTCACTGCACCCCGCCATGAGAACAAGCAGACATGGGTTTACAGAATTCTACCCGCGGCAGCTCATGAGAATTTCACCGTGGAGCATGCCGACTCGTATCATATGCGCATGACAACCGAGACCCACAAGCTTCACCACATCCCTAACCAGCTGCGATGGAACCCCTTCGATCTAGATGAGAAGGTCGACTGGGTGCATGGACTGCACCTGATTGCAGGCTCTGGTGACCCGACTCAGAAGCAGGGGTTGGGCATTTTGATGTATGCCGCAGGCAAAGACATGGGCAAGGAAGCTTTCTACTCCGCGGACGGAGACTTCCTAATTGTGCCTCAGCACGGGGTGCTGGACATCCAGACAGAGCTCGGTCGCATTATTCTGCGACCAAACGAGATCTGCGTTATCCCTCGCGGTGTTAGGTGGGTGTCTTCCATTTCCTACATGTGATCAATAACTAATCACTTCTATTAGATACCGAGTGACGCTTCCAGACGGCCCTGTGCGGGGATACATCTGTGAATTATACCAGGGCCACTATCAACTCCCAGAGCTGGGCCCCATTGGATCCAACTGCCTGGCCAATGCACGCGATTTCCAAGCCCCCGTTGCCGCTTTCGACGACGAAGAGGAAAGCGAGTACAAGCTTTATAGCAAATTCAACAACACGCTCTTCGCCGCGCGACAAAACCACACGCCCTTCGACATTGTCGCCTGGCACGGCAACTACTACCCTTTCAAGTACGATCTCGGCCGATTCAATGTAATCGGTTCGATTTCATTCGACCACCCCGACCCTTCTATATTCACTGTGCTGACGGCTCCATCGGACCACGTTGGTACGGCCGTTGCTGACTTTGTTATCTTCCCTCCTCGCTGGCTCGTCGCAGAGGGTACTTTCCGCCCACCATGGTATCACCGTAACACCATGTCGGAATTCATGGGTCTGATTTCTGGTGACTACGATGCGAAGGTTGGTGGAGGTTTCAAGCCTGCTGGTGCTAGTTTGCACAACGTCATGAGTGCACATGGCCCCGACTCGGGCGCTTTCGAAGGAGCTAGCAATGCTGAGCTGAAGCCTCAAAAGGTTGGTGATGGGAGTATGGCTTTCATGTTTGAAAGGTTAGTTCGATTTCCGCTGTCACTTCCGAGACTTTTTATAATCTCTGACAATGCTTTAGTGCTCACATGGTCGGCGTCTCGGAGTGGGGTCTCAAGACCTGCCAGAAGGTGCAGCCAGAATATAACGAGCACAGCTGGAAGCCTCTGAAGCGGCATTTTGTGAACCCTAACAAAAAGGCTTAAGCTATGGTTTGGCCCTGAGCACTGCGATGAGGATATGTGCACATTTTTATTTAGCTCTATAGTATAACAAGATACCAGAATTCAATCGAACCTATCAAAATTGTTTCTCGTTATTGCTCCAATATGTTCGTTATTCCAAATGCCAACTTTATGAATTAAATTACTTCTCCATGATATATAATCTTCAACCCTCGAGCTCCTTCCTCATCGCCTCCTTAACAATAGCCCCACACATCTTAGCATAATGATTCGTTTGCACAGAAAGTTGCTGTGCAACCTTATTCCCATAGCGACCCCCAAAGAAGAAATCCCGACTAGCCATTTCCTCAAGCTGATCAGCCGAAAGTCCACGAAGACGCTCCGGGACCGCCTCGCCATCACCAGAACCAGCCTTCTTCACACGCGCCGCTTTGAGAAGCAAGTATCCCCGATGCGTGTGTGCGTCAGCCAATAACCGTGCCTGGGTTGTTGAGACCGCATCGGCAGGGGAGGCGGGTGTGGCAAAAGTTATGGCTTGGCCTAGGTCAGAGAAGATGCGGGAGCATAGCTGGGAGGTTTTTGGGGCAAAGATAGCCGCATCGGATATCTCGCTGTCAGTGCTCTGATCACCACCCGCTTCTTTGCTGTAGATCAGATCGACGAGCAGGCGGAGTGTTTGTGCTCTGTTTGTGTAGGCGGAGGGATATGTTGGATGCTGGGTTATGAGGGTGTCGAAGTCGTCCAGTGCTGACTGGACTGTCTCTATACTTGTTGATTTGTGGGATTGCAGCTTGCGGATGATGTCTGTTTCGCGCTGCTTGAGCGACGCCAAGTTCGTTTCGGAAATGTTCACAGATGATGGCCATGGTGGGAGCGATGAATCGACGGTGAATCCCGATGACGGAGAGGATTCGGCATCAAAGAGAGCTTGTAGCACAGCCGAATCATTAGATGTCAATGATGGTCGAGCAGTTGTGATAGATGTCATTTTGGGATTTGGTGTTGAGGCGAGAGGTTGTGATTATCGTGAGAATCAATTCAGAATAGGCTCGCTACAGTCACAATGATTGAAGAACAGAACAAAATGTCCCAAGCCTTGAGAATCTAAGAAATTGATCTTCAGGCGGATATTAACGATGATCTCAGCGGGTCCGGGTATCTCCGGATATTTCAGGATCCTGAAATACCCGCACGGCGACAAGGCGTGCAAATGTCAGCAACGAAAGTGGATTGAAATACATCGCCGAGACACGGTTAATAGAGGATCCAGTTATTTAAAAGAAAGGGAAGGGTAGATTTGACATCAAATAATTCGAAATCCCCGCCTCTCATCTTGCACTACCATCTTACGTTTTATCTACCAATATCATCACAAACATACAGGATTCAAAATGGCGCCATCAGCTATTTCCAATAGCCCTCCTCCCTCAGTTGCCGATGATGCATCTTCAGTGGCCAGCTACCGCGGTTACGACCATGTCCACTGGTACGTTGGCAATGCCAAGCAAGCCGCAAGCTACTACATCACCCGTATGGGCTTCAAGCGTATTGCCTATAAGGGTCTTGAAACCAGCAGTCGCCATATCTGCTCGCATGTCATCCGCAACGGAGATATCACCTTCATCTTGTCCTCCCCTCTGCGGTCCCTTGACCAAGTCGAACGTTTCGATCCCGAAGAGCAAGCCGAGCTAAAGGAGATCCATGATCACATCGAGAAGCACGGTGATGCAGTCAAGGATGTTGCCTTTGAGGTTGACAATGTCGATGCTGTCTTCTTTGCGGCCGTGAAGAATGGCGCTAAGGCTGTCTCTAACCCTAAGGTCCTTGAAGATAAGAGTGGTCGTGTCAAGACTGCTACTATCCAGACTTATGGGCAGACCACCCATACCCTTATTGAGCGCAGCGAGTACCGCGGTACTTTTATGCCCGGCTACCGTGCTGAGACTGCCAGTGAGGATCCCATTGTGCAGTTCTTGCCTGGTGTTCATCTCAAGCATATCGACCACTGTGTTGGAAACCAGGACTGGGATGAGATGGATAAGATATGTGAATAGTGAGTTCGGCCCAGATTGTTTTGATTAAGACTCATTTACTGATACCACCGGTTAGCTATGAGAAAGCTCTTGGCTTCCACCGTTTCTGGTCCGTCGACGACAACGAAATCTCCACGTAAGTGTTTTAACATGCCTTAGCTGATACCAGGCACCATGGCTAACCTCATAATGATAGTGAGTTCTCAGCCTTAAGTAGTGTTGTCATGGCCTCGCCCAACGAGATCGTCAAGATGCCCATCAACGAGCCAGCAAAGGGCAAGAAACAATCCCAGATCGAGGAATACGTGGACTTCTACAACGGTGCCGGTGTACAACATATTGCACTTCGCACAGATGATATCATCCGAGATATTACCAATCTCAAGGCACGTGGTGTCGAGTTTATCAAGGTCCCCGAGACATACTACACGGATATGCAGGCCCGCTTGAAGCAGTCTGGCTTGGTACTTAAGGAAAGCTTCGAGACCATCCGTAGCTTGGACATTTTGATTGATTTTGATGAGGGTGGCTATCTGCTACAGCTCTTCACTAAGGTACGTGGAAATGAATGACTCCAGGATCCATTAATTTATACTAACCTGACAAATAGCACATGATGGACCGGCCCACTGTGTTTATTGAGATTATCCAGCGACACAACTTCGAAGGCTTTGGAGCCGGCAATTTTAAGTCACTATTCGAGGCTATTGAACGAGAGCAGGAACTACGCGGTAACTTGGTTTAAGTACTAAAAATTTTGTACAGTCGGGCATTTTCTTGAAGAGCCCTTGCAGTCTTGGGATTTGCATTTTGTATTTAGCGAATTAGGGACTTTTCGTTAATAACCATCTTTGAACCATCTCATGGTCCGCCAAGCTTTGTAACTCAAGTGTATACTTGGGAGATATGGTATCGTTAGCTTCTATGCACTCCGGATTCCCTGTGGTAATGGCTAGCTTGCTACTATAGGAGCGTGGAAGATGTAGAAGTTGAGACGTGTATTGAGTAAAAAGTCTTTAATTGGTACAACTGAGCAGGATCATGGATATGACATCCCTGGATGTAGATGTTAGAGCACTGGAGGCAACAGGTTGACCAGAGACAAGAGAGCCTCATGTAGCACAGTGGAAAATAAAAAGGGATCTCGTGTGGGGATAGGATTCGGGCCAGTAGGGGTTTCCTAATGGGGAAATAGGTCCTATGTATGGGAAGTAAAAGGCCTCTCACCTGCCAATCCGCCCCAATTAGCTTGGCAGTTGGGGAGTCCGAAATCGATTTACAGAAGCTGAGTATGCAAACCTTGCCCCGGCCGGTCAGCATATCCTTAAGGCGACTGAGATTTATGGAGGATGAGCTCAAACCACCAGGTATTTATGAGAGGGTCCCTAACCTAGAGGGGGTAGGAGGTCCTGACAGGAAGGGTTCGTGGATTGGCACCTCTCTTCTTTTTTCTTTTTAGCCATGAACTTGATAATATTTTCTCCTCTTATATATGGCTTTGGTCTGTCTAAATCTGCTTGTCTCCCATAGAGGTCTGTCTGGTATGGGGCTTCGTGGGTGCTATACATGGAAGACGTGATACGTGTGTACTCTTACAGCGAGGGATACGGAGCAGATGTGAGATCCAAGTCCTTTACATAACTAACTCCAGTTGGCAAAAAGTGTACCTGATGAAGACTGAAGCAATTTTAAAATCCTAGAAGAACAAATACCCACTTGCTTCATATAGAGCAACCCGAAGCAACGCATTGTTCTTACCATTTATTAAGCCATCTTCCTAAAAGCCAAAAGAATCGAACCTATCGTCTAGCCATCGAGTATTCCTGCGTTGACCTCCAAATCCAATCCCAGTCGCAGTATCGATCTAGCAAGTCCGCAAGCTCACGCCAATTCTGTCGAATCTTAAACCAATGTTCATCTAGATGTCTTTCCAATACGGCCAGCGACTCGAGACCAGCAGCATCAATAACTTCTTTAGTCATTTTGTCCTCTCCTCGTTGGAGATGCTCTATCAAGAATGCTTCGTGGTCGAATATGGCCTTTGATTCAGCGAGCAAACGTTTCTTATCATCCATCCATTTCTGCTTTGTCTGCATGAACTTGTTCTTTGTCAACTTACGGCCTGGGTATTCTGACAGCCACTGTATGGTAAGGACTTGGGTTGTCTGTTAGTGATGAGAAGGGAGTGGATGTATCGGGAGGAAGACGTACCGCCAACAGCACAAATGCCTATCATTACCCCCGCTATTAGAGCACCGCAGACGGCGGCTTCTAGCGCCCCCAATATCATACACATTTCGTGGGTTGGATGTAGACGTTGGATCTGGTTGAGTAACAGAAAGAATTGGAATATGAATTTCTTTTTCATGGATAACTAAGGATGAGACATTACTGATGTTATGTTTAGGTTCCGGCGACTTATGTTGGAAGCTTTTTTTTTATTGAAATAAACTATTCTATTTATGAACCCCAGGGCCATATTGAGATATTTAATAGTTTTGTTTATTCATTTACTTCCGCTTCGATGAACTCGAAGTAGGAGCATTGCCTCCAATCCGCTTAAATTTCCTCGGATCTAGAGCCATATTAGACGAGTGTACTTATAGGAAGTTCAAACTGAAAAACATACCTTTCCGACTCATCAGAGCCCGGTTCCGCGTTCCCTTTCCGCCCTCCCAGAACCCACTGCCTGCCTTTCCAATCAGGACTGCTTTGCAAATACCGCAGTTCTCAGGTCTGTAGATTTGCTCGCGGGAGCAGTAGCCACATATCATACGATTTGCGTGTTCGTTCGGGTGATCGGTTTCCGCGTCGTGGCATCTAGATAAATCAATAAGCATGTGAAGGGGGATGGATATGCAGCGGGAAATCATACTTGTCACAAGGGAAGACTTTTGAGCAGCAGCTGAATCTGTATGGGGTTAATATAACCTGTATAACCGGTTCATCGAATGCTACGATCACATACCTAAACCAGCGTTGACTCTTAGCATAGTGCTGGCAACGACCGCGTCGCGGAAGTTCTTGTCCTGCGACAATGCCGAGGACTTCCTGAGGCTGTGGTACTTATTAGATTTTACCATTACGATGCGCTGTAGATTGTACGAACCTTTCTTTTGAGCGGGAGTGCTCCACGAGAAGTGACTAGATGGTACAGCAATGAGCAAAAGCGTCTTGGGTGGTTTTGATATCGGGACTTACTTGCTGCACTTCCCACTAGAAGGAATTTCACCTCAGGGATCTTGAAAACTGAATTTTAGAAATGTTAGTAGCCAAACAATAGACACTGCCTGTTAGGACGTACCCATTTTGCGATGGCACTGGCGACATATACCCATAGCACTCTCGCCGCGAACTGCAGGTATACCCGGTGCCGGATGGGCAGTCGAGCACTCCGAACATGTTGGGATGAAGTCGCTATAGCAAGATGAGTCAACAGATAGCACTTTACTGGTATAAATGAGAGAACCAACCTAAGAAGCATGTCCCCAATTGCACAGCCGCCCAAATCAAGGTAGCCAGCACGATTTGCATGGGAATGCATCAACTGCCTCCGGAACGCTGCACATAAGAGTTAGTCACCCATCCGAGAACGTGAATGAGATTGAGTGTATACTCACCGATACTCATATTGTTAGCGCATTTCCTGCACGATTCCATTTTCGGCATCTGGCCCTTCTCATCGGTAATTTGTGGTACGTTCTTGACATCGAGTGACACTTTACATCTCTCACATTTAATAGTGATATTGAGGCTGGTGAGTTCCAGTAGCTCGATTCCGTAGAGCTCCAAGAATGGGAAAGAAAGTGCGACGCCTCGTCCGGGCACATTGTTGTCCACTGATGCCGGAACGGGTGCGCCCCCTTCTTCGTCTTCCTCTTCATCGGAATACTCGTCTTCCTCGTAACTCGATTCGCCCGATGTCCCCTCGGTGCCACTGTTGGGATTAAGGACTGACCATTCGGGTGGCCGTGGAATGACAACAAGATGTGGCCTGTCTTCAATATCTTGAGTTGAGGACGCGGCAAGTGCTTTTGTTGGCTCCACCACATTCTCATCCTCGTCCTCTTCAACAGTGGGAGGTACAGCTTCAGTGGGCTCCTGCTCGTTTGGTAAGGGCGCTTCAGCGAATTTATGGATATTGCTCGCCAGGTAGTTGACCTGAGATACCAGACTCAGCTGCGAAGTTTGTTCTACCCACTGAGCGAATCCCACTTCTGTGGCTTTCACTTCGGGGCCTTCGACTCCTTGCAACTTGATTGAGCTGTGCTCGAGCGGGTAGAGCTGTGGCACAATCAATTTCACAGTTTTCAGTGCTTGAAGTGTTCGCGGCAGCCGATCCTGTTTGGTTGGCTGGATGGGAATAACATATGTCCTGCCATCCGGCAGTTTTTGGTACATCGGCAGTCTTCCAAGGCGCGCTTCGAGCTGTTTCGTCTCGGTTGCTCGTCTCTTCTCAGCTGCGGCTTTCGCTTCAGTCGTATGTTTAGGTGCTACAGTTCGTGCTTGTAGTGTTGGCTTAGCAACAGCACTCGGCATTTTACCATGACCTCGAGGCAAGCTCTGGCTTAGAGTCGTTTCCGGGGCCTTGGTAGGTCCTTTCGTTGTGGATCCATCACCAAGGTTAGCGAAAAACTTCAGTGTTGGCCCACGCTCCAGGGTAGTTAGCAATGATTCGAGCTTTCTGTCCAGACTGTTCAGCCAACCCAAAAGAGTCCCTCGGGCACTGATGCGGTACGTAAGATCGACGATCTCATCGAAGCCTCTGACGACATTGGCTTGATATGCAGCTTCCATTTCAGAATTGGTCACTGCAAGCGTTGGCCGCCCTTTTGGGTATGAGGTTGGCACATGAAGGACACAGTGGAGTCTTTCAAGCTCAAACGGGAAGTCCGGGTCAGAAGGTACCAAGCCAAAGGTCAGAGTAGTACCCTGAGCATCATTGACTTCCTGTGGACGGTAACGGCGCCTCAATTGGTTGATCTGAAACTCTCTTGGGTGTGACTGCTCCAATTTTGAAACTGGTCTTCGGGGCTGGACAGGAGCGGCGGCAGAGCTCTGCTTCGACTGGTTCTCACCAATGTTCAATCTCTCGGCTCCAGTGACAATGGCTTTTGTCGAACTCTGGCTTTCATTCCCCGAGGACTGGGCAGGTGTCTGCTGCTCGGACGAAGGCTGCTTAGCCGCAATGGCTGAAACATCATGTAGATACGGACATGCTGCTCCAATTCGGCATCCTTGAACAATATTAGCATATGACCTGAACGAATCACCGCCTTCCTAGCAAATTAAAACCACCGAGAATACATGCGCAAAATATTAGGGCACAGATCGATCATACGATGCTGGTGATAGCCTCGGTATCATTGACCCTTTGGGTGAATATGGCAGACGGTGTGTACAAGCATTCCCAAAGGGGCCTTTTTGTGGCACCCAAGTCCGTATTCAATGACGCGTCGATCATTGCAGTGACAAAATGGGCAAAGAGCCCTTACAGACACAAACTCAGAACACAGACTTACCCTTTTTGGATTTGAAAAAGCGACATTTCTGCCGCCGAGTTGATGACTGGCGAGCAGCACTCGATTCATCGGTGGATGCAACACCATGCGACCGGACCGCTGACAACTCATCAGTTGCCAAAGATGACGGCAGCTCTGTACCTGTTCAACAAAAGCATCATGAGCGTGTGATCAAAAAGGTTGCAGGCGGCCGCCTCCGATCCAGGCGTATTGGCAGACCGGGGGCCACCCTGCACGCCAACAAAGCTCCAAGACAACATGGGGAGTGATAGGCTTTGTGGCTGATGCAACATGTGGTGCATGGACATGCAACAGAGGGGCTGAAAATACGAAAGCCTGTGGTGGAGGGTCGACCAGAGAATCCGCCCAAGTAGATCTCGTGGAATTGATTGGGAGAAAAGCTTCCGGCAGGATGGCTTTTACGAGCCAATAATAGAATATTGTCCTAGACTCACTTTGGATCTGGGGTGTTGGACCCGCATCATCAAATGACCTATTCTCCATACTGAAACTGAGCCTCGAGCCGTGTTGCGAAAGATAATCCAGAATGGAATGGCCCGGTTCTGGGCGACTTGGAGGTGGCGCGCGTTGCCAACGCAGAGATCGGGTGACCTTGAGAAGATCGACAGGACCAGATCTGCGCAGTAAGTAAGCCGAGATGTGCGACCGCCGTCTGAACTTCTGTAGCGATCTTCAAAGTCACGGCGCTAAACAAAATAAAAAGGAAAACTGTGAAGAGATACCACGTGACGTCAAATGTCAAAGTAGGCCACAATATAAGTGGTGGGTATCTTAAGGTCTGAAGAGATGAAGCTATACAAGAAGTTATAGTTGTTTACGGTTTTACCGGCAGGCGAATGCCAAGACTTCAGGCGGAACGGATGATCTCATTCGCCTTGATATTGGCCTTTTGACTCACTTCCAGTCATACTGTGGGCTGAGTCACAATGCATCGATTTTGCCAAAGTGGATTGGAGGTTTAGTGGAAAAATCACTAGAATGTTCGGTGTTGTTCTAACATGGAGCACAATTGGTTTGTAGATGCCCTGTCCAACTCCGGTATCCATTATTGCCTACATCGCATGTTGTACAATGTACAAGTCCAGGCTCGCATACATTAACAATGACAACCACTACTGGGTCCTCACATTTAATATCATTTCAACTATAGCTTTTGTCATTTCGCGTCCACATCGCAACCCAATGCTGTGGCGTTCATGCTCGAAGCCACAACGGGAAGCAAACCAAGCAAGTAGTAGCATTGATTGGCAATAATCTACCTGCACGTCACCATTGCATCCAGAAGACATAAAACAAAAGCCATCAGAATAAGAACCAGCAGGAAAGCAAGCTTCCGAACACCAGTCTGTCAGCAGAGGATATACTACACGGAGCGCGCCATGCGCCTTATCTCCCACATCCATGCCGGGGGATATCCCCTTTCGCAAAGGTCCAACCCCGGCCAGCGAGGCAATGATAATATGAGAGAAAAGATTAACCTTGACCGGAGCAATACGACCCGATGGTTGCAACAAGCTCAGCGCAATATTCTCAACAGCCACCAGTCACGGACAGCGGTCGGTCCGCGTTGCGCGGAGAAGATGAGGGGTTCGCTTTCAAGTTTCTAGAATTCCCGCATCCCTGCGCGATGGGTGCGCCTTCGCCGGGGTACGCGTTTAGCCCGGGATGCAACATCGATCTATTAGACATAAGGGCTATCTTCGATAGTTGCTTTTCAGGACTGGCGATGGCTTGAGCGTGTAGTCATATTTCGAACTCTACCTAGGCCTAGGTACCGAACTTTCATGACACATATCTGATGGGTTTTACGTGTTTACCCCAACATTTAGGGCATTTAATGTAAAGTACAGAGCAATAAGGTAGGAGAAAAGGAATAAATTAGAGAGTGCCCAAGCCCGGGAATTGAACAGTGCGACGAGGTACATGTACATACTATGTTGTACAGACAGAGAGAATTCAACCTCAATCTAGAGGAAACTCACGCAACAGCTGTGGCGTAAACCATGATTGAAGGAAACGGTTTTGGAAAGTCTATCTGGAGGTCACTCGGATGTATAGTGGAACCTCTGATGTTGTACGGAGTGCTCCGTACTCCGTACTCCTGTCTGTGGCTGCCACTAGTAGGACACCGGTATCCAGCCCAAACCCTCGGGGAGTTACAAGATATACTTGCGTTTTAGATATAACATTCCACATGGCGGCCTAGGTTGTCTGGGATCTAACAGCCGAGCTGTAGATCCGAAATAAAAGCTGTCTAAAGAACGTGTGAAATGGCCCATACAAGCGAAGAACCTCCACATCAGGCGACAAGGGTAAGTACTGATTTTGAGCCTCGGTCAATTGTATTGTAAGAAAGACATCGGTATGGAAGCTCCGCTCCGCGGTACTGAGCTTTCCGCTGTACAATATGGTAATGTAAGATACAAATACAGTACAGTAAGTAAAAAAAAACACCGAAAGCGGAAAGGCGCGGATCGGACCTGGAACTCACCGGCCAATCGGATCATCCTTCCAGAAGCCTTCCAGAATCTCGCACGGTCTTCCATGGGCGTTGGCGCGTTTGACCATGGGCATAGCTTGAGTTTTCGGGTTTGAGCACATGTCGGCATTTCTACAGATATCACTCGCCCGATGGTACATGCACTTACTTAGGTTTTACTACTAATGCTATTTGATTCTGATCTGACAGCAATTGACGATGTTGGCACCTTGCGGGGTTTCGGAGTACAGGGCTCCTGGGAGTTCTGGTACACGTGATTATTCTCCACCGGAAGGCCTAGAATAATAATTTGGCCAATCACGGTAGCGGGAATTGAGTTGGGTTTTCCAGATTCAGTTTCCTTTTTTGGCCCAAGGAAAACGGGCGGGGGCCAATCCCGAGCGCCTCATTCGGTATTTCGCCGAATATTAATAACAGTCGATGTGATGTAACTAAGTCAACTAGCACTTCATTCGGGACAGCCACGAAACGTGGGATGTCATACGTGCTGGCAAATATTGTCGGCAAATATTGTCAGGTGATTTGAGACGGTAGGTACCTATCGTCGTGCAGCACTAATACTAAAATGATCGAGACGTCCTCCTGAATCGAAGGGACAACAAGAAGTCAGTAAAGCATACGGAGTTGCTAAGTCTAAAATACCTCTGCACCGAACCTAAAATCGGCTCTGTTCTAGAGCTCGAGAGGCCTAGACAGGGATTGTATGGGTCATGGTTGGCCGATCACCTCGTCTGTACTCCGTAGTGGAGGACGACCAAGAATAAACCAACGAAGATTCTTGCATGTCGAGAATTCGCCGCAATCATCAAATAACCTAGACAAAGCGGCCAAAGCTGCGTGAGTGCCTCAATCTTTGAACACCAGAAACGCGCATCATTTCTAGGTCAAGGGCGCGATATCCTCACATCCGCATGTCGTAGCTTTTGTTGACATGCTGCACACTGCACGCTGCATCGGCTTGCCGATTGCACGTCGGGCGCACATCACCAACCCGACGAGCCAGTTAGGCGTCAATCTTGCAGCAAGAAGGCGATATCCACTTTTTCTTAACCACAACGCCTCTGCCTAACTAACAGCCTTGATCGTGGAGCGGTCCGTGAGGGTTAGTACACAGTACCCATACCATAACGACTCGTATGGAGTCCCAAATAGGAAATACGGAGCTAAGGCTGTCACATGTACGGAATCCACCGTGTCAGTTGAAAACATTTCAGTACCGGTGAAACGCGTGGAAAAGCATATAGCGAATCATGTCTGTCCCTGGTTGTGAGTGATCCACTGCAATATCCACTTTGTGGCCTGTGTGAAGCTGAGATCAAGAAGACTCATCTGGCCGGGCCGGTTCAGACAGGAGTTAGCCCTAACTGGGCAGGTGGGTTCTGGAGATGGAGGCTGGAATGCGCACACAATGTGTGTTCTATAGAAATTTGGTGACGGATTGTTGTAGAAGAGGCTCTTGTTTCATATTGGCTGTTTCGCGCTGACTAGGTCGGAATGGAATAAAGGGGCTTGTGATATAAAAGTGTCCGATCTTGGTTATATATTGCCAAGATTGCATTTTTCGGTGAGATGGTACTCAATTTGACATGGGATCTGTTGTATCCATGTCATTGGCTTCATTTGGTTCTCGGGTCTGAGTTTCTCAAGCATTGAATGGTTCTCATTAGAGCCCCACGGCTTCGGGTAATGACCGGAAAGACTGGAGACTTTCCCAGTATGGAGATTGTATCGGGCGTTTTAGGAGGAAAAGTCTTCATCCCCACACCCGTTCAAAGTTGGAGAGAGGAAAAGTTGTGCATACGTCATTCGTTGAAACACTGCGGGACCGAGAAGGACTACCTTAGATAATGTAGTCTGGCTTCGTGTCTACCAGTAGATTTCAAATATATGAGAGGCGACGCGAAAAGAGAATCGAGGGAGATAAAAGAATACAATATAGAGATGGATCTCGGGCATCAAAATCCAGCCGCTCCACCCCCGGATCATGTGCGCCGGTCATGTGCAGCTGCCACATGACTACTGTGGACACCCGATAAACCCCCATAGTAAAGGCTACTATGTCCAAGACTCCTTCTATTGGTATTGCACACAACTCTGACAAATCTCTTGATGAAAATAAGCATATCTCCAACCCATGTGAACGCAATTATGCCAATAATGACATCAACGTGATACAACTCCTTCAGTGCAGCCTTCAGTTAACATCTACAGGTCAATTCTCATCCTTCAGGCAACTACCACCACTGAGACATGGCAAAATGTAAGCGAAGGCAAAACCATGATGAAAACATGCATAACCAGGCAAGACCCATGTAAACAACAAGTTACAATTACTCATAGTGTCATAATGAGGCCCTCCAACGGA